AGATTTTTAACTATTATTAGTTATCATATGCATTTGACCAGAAGTGGGATAATGCCTTTAAAACATACAGTTTATGGAATTTCAAGAAGTTGTCATAGCTGATACAGTAGAACACGGATATAGCGAACACGGATATAGCGTACAAACGGATATAGCGAACAAATTTAAAAGTCCCGTCAACAGTCCTTTATAATATCATTAAAATTATACGCGAATAACGAACTCGTGAGTAGCGAATTAACGGCTATAGCGAACTGATTTACTACCCCCAAGCCCAACTATCGACGTGATTAGCGAACTCATTAACGTGTCTGTGATGCAGTCGGCAAAATGAAGTCTGCAAGACGTGGTGTGCAGAGCAAAATTGTGTACTTTGTTAAACGTAATTAAGTTATATACATGTATTTTTGAGATTGTTGTGATTGTTAAACATGTTCTTGTTAAACAGGGGCGGTGGGGTAGCCTAATGGTTAAAGCGTTGGCTCGTCACGCCGAAGACCCGGGTTCGAATCCCCACATGGGCACAATGTGTGAAGCCCATTTCTGGTGTCCCCCGCCGTGATGTTGCTGGAATATTGCTAAAAGCGGCGTAAAACCAAACTCAGTCAGTCAGTCAGTCTTGTTAAACATGTTCTAGCTAATGTCTGTGAATGATAAATTCAGAATTTTAATGTTATGTCAATGTACATGTACAAGAATAAATATTTGTAGCCTCAGCATATAGGTGTCTCTACATCTCTACAATCCAAGATGGCGGTCAAATAAGAATAACGAACACCGGATATAGCGAACTAAATTTCGTGGTCCCTTGGAGTTCGTTATATCCGTGTTCTACTGTAATAGGAAATAGCATTCCAAACCTACAAGTAAATTATTAATGTACTGGGTCAATAATTCAAATTTTCAGAGATTTTTAACTATTATTAGTTATCGTATGCATTTGACCAGAAGTGGGATAATGCCTTTAAAACCTACAGTTTATGGAATTTCCAGAAGCTGTCTTGGCTGATGATATAGATTAGCATTACAAACCTTTGAGCAAATTATGAATGTACTGGGTTTATAGTTCTATTTTACAGAGATTTTTAACTATCATTATTAATCACATGCCTTTGACCGGAAGTGGGATAATGCCTTTAAAACCTACAGTTTATATAATTTCAAGAAGTCATCTTGGCTGATGATATAGATTAGCATTTCAAACCCACAAGTAAACTATTAATGTACTGGGTAAATAATTAAAATTTTCAGAGATTTTTAACTATTATTAGTTATCATATGCATTTGACCAGAAGTGGGATAATGCCTTTAAAACATACAATTTATGGAATTTCAAGAAACTGTCTTGGCTGATGATAGGAAATAGCATTCCAAACCTACAAGTAAATCATTAATGTACTGGGTCAATAATTCAAATTTTCAGAGATTTTTAACTATTATTAGTTATCACATGCATTTGACCAGAAGTGGGATAATGCCTTTAAAACCTACAGTTTATGGAATTTCCAGAAGCTGTCTTGGCTGATGATATAGATTAGCATTACAAACCTCTGAGCAAACTATGAATGTACTAGGTCTATAATTCTATTTTACAGAGATTTTTAACTATCATTATTAATCACGTGCCTTTGACCAGAAGTGGGATAATGCCTTTAAAACCTACAATTTATGGAATTTCAAGAAGTTTTCATGGCTGATGATAGGAAATAGCATTTTAAACCTACAAGTAAGTAATGAATGAACTGGGTCAATAATTCAAATTTTTAGAGATATTTAACTATTATTAGTTATCACATGCATTTGACCAGAAGTGGGATAATGCCTTTAAAACCTACAGTTTATGGAATTTCCAGAAGCTGTCTTGGCTGATGATATAGATTAGCATTACAAACCTCTGAGCAAACTTTTGAATGTACTAGGTCTATAATTCTATTTTACAGAGATTTTTAACTATCATTATTAATCACGTGCCTTTGACCAGAAGTGGATAATGCCTTTAAAACCTACAGTTTATGGAATTTCAAGAAGTTTTCATGGCTGATGATAGGAAATAGCATTTTAAACCTACAAGTAAGTAATGAATGAACTGGGTTAATAATTCAAATTTTCAGAGATATTTAACTATTATTATTAATCACATGCATTTGACCAGAAGTGGATAATGCCTTTAAAACCTACAATTTATGGAATTTCAAGAAGTTTTCATGGCTGATGATAGGAAATAGCATTTTAAACCTACAAGTAAGTAATGAATGAACTGGGTCAATAATTCAAATTTTCAGAGATATTTAACTATTATTATTAATCACATGCATTTGACCAGAAGTGGGATAATGCCTTATAAACCTACAGTTTATGGAATTTCCAGAAGCTGTCTTGGCTGATAATAGGAAATAGCATTCCAAACCTACAGGTAAATTATTAATGTACTGGGTCAATAATTCAAATTTTCAGAGATTTTTAACTATTATTAGTTATCATATGCATTTGACCAGAAGTGGGATAATGCCTTTAAAACATACAGTTTATGGAATTTCAAGAAGTTGTCATAGCTGATAATAGGAAATAGCATTCCAAACCTACAAGTAAATTATTAATGTACTGGGTCAATAATTCAAATTTTCAGAGATTTTTAACTATTATTAGTTATCGTATGCATTTGACCAGAAGTGGGATAATGCCTTTAAAACCTACAGTTTATGGAATTTCCAGAAGCTGTCTTGGCTGATGATATAGATTAGCATTACAAACCTTTGAGCAAATTATGAATGTACTGGGTTTATAGTTCTATTTTACAGAGATTTTTAACTATCATTATTAATCACATGCCTTTGACCGGAAGTGGGATAATGCCTTTAAAACCTACAGTTTATATAATTTCAAGAAGTCATCTTGGCTGATGATATAGATTAGCATTTCAAACCCACAAGTAAACTATTAATGTACTGGGTAAATAATTAAAATTTTCAGAGATTTTTAACTATTATTAGTTATCATATGCATTTGACCAGAAGTGGGATAATGCCTTTAAAACATACAGTTTATGGAATTTCAAGAAACTGTCTTGGCTGATGATAGGAAATAGCATTCCAAACCTACAAGTAAGTAATGAATGAACTGGGTCAATAATTCAAATTTTTAGAGATATTTAACTATTATTATTAATCACATGCATTTGACCAGAAGTGGGATAATGCCTTTAAAACCTACAGTTTATGGAATTTCCAGAAGCTGTCTTGGCTGATGATATAGATTTGCATTACAAACCTCTGAGCAAATTATGAATGTACTGGGTCAATAATTCTATTTTACAGAGATTATTAACTATTATTAGTTATCATATGCATTTGACCAGAAGTGGGATAATGCCTTTAAAACCTACAGTTTATGGAATTTCAAGAAGTTATCTTGGCTGATGATGGTAAATAGCATTTCAAACCTACAAGTCAACTATTAGTGTACTGGGTCAATAATTCAAATTTTCAGAGATTTTTAACTATTATTATTAATCACGTGCCTTTGAGCAGAAGTAGGATAATGTCTTTAAAACCTACAGTTTATACAATTTCAAAATGGTATCTGGGCTGATGATAGTATTATGTGTGATGGCGTGTTACTGAATACACCCTACCATTATGAATAATAGATCACCACTCTTTTTACAGTGTCATGAATGTGTACACGAACCTGTATATTTTTCGAGTATTTCATAAGAAATATTCTCTAAAAAGTATGACCAAGCAACATACCAATCTCTTATATACTCTCACAAATGGCATAACACAAATAACTTAAATCCCCAAAACAAACTTGAATTGTTATACATACATACCCATCAAGAATGGATGTAACATCATTAAAAAAATAATTATGACATAATTTCATTTTCTTTTATTCCCCGTTCTTTTATAAAAGAAACTATTTACTGTATTATTACATAAAACACTGTGCAAAAATGGCCAGGCTTGCCGATATTTAGATACAACTTACTATATTTTCACACATATTAGCATAATTATTAAACTATAAAATCAAAATCCAATACCATTCACATCATATATCTTCTGGTTCTATTCGTGGGCATAAACATATATTGTTAAAAGGAATAATTATCTATATTTTAAAATATCATTAGATATTGCAAGAAAGTCATAGGTTGAGCAGTAACCATTTCTGGGAATGAATGAATCATTATGAATAAAAAATGAATGAAAAACACCTGACACCTAAATTCAGCATCCACAACCAGGAACATTAATTGGGTGCTCACATATTTTTAAGCTAGTAGAGTAATTACAGTAAAGCGTATGAAAATGAATTCTATTTCGTTTCAGTTTCCCGTTTCTACATTTTCTGCGCTGCTATATTTAGCTATGATGGAGGACATCGACTATGGAGCGCTGCCATTGGCATTTTTTGCGATCAGTAGTTAAAATAAAGGACACGAGTTGTGCAGCTGATTTTGATCTTAATAATTGTTTGTCGATTAAATACATAGTTGACAGTAAGACGTATAATTCTCCATATTAGTTATCCCAGTTCTGGTCGTATCCCAGTTCTGGTCGCAACAAGCGTACATGCATTGTTATGACACGATGAGTTATGGGAACTAGGCATTAAATATTAAAACTTATGTACAGTTGTCACTTCAGTCGACAAACAGGCCCTATTCCTCTGAATTTTCCGAATGACACGGACACCAGAATTCAGCTGTTGATACTTTTATGCCGAGTATCGCGGTCTGAGCGTAATAAATGTTCTGTTCTGTTCTGTACTTTTCTGTCGATTTTATTTAGACGAATGGTTCACACTTATCCGTACAAACAATGGATAATACCCTTGAGCCAAGTATCTATGTTTAGATCAAATATAGTGACTGCTTATAAATCAGAAGAGAGGTCTCATTGGCATGCATGGTGTGAGGTTATGGTTATCCAATCAAAGCGTATGTAATTTTTCTTATCGGAAACCGGTATTTCCGCCGTATGTTGCCATCTGCGACCTGGAAACAAGCAGTGAGAGCACAGCGCTGCAAAAGGCTTTCCATGGTGGTTTGTAAACTACGTCTTCGCGAATTCGCGTTTATCAAGATTAAGAGTTCATCATGAAATTTTATCAGGTAAGAAAACAAATCGTGAACCATTCTTTTGATATTTTAATTTTTGAACAGTCCATCGAGACTACTATGCTCGTTTTACGAATATTTCAAAGAGCGTCATACGACTCGTGCTTGGAAGTTGTCCGATCAACTGCTTTGTGTGGCATTTAGAAGTTGGTGTGATGAACAAGTGCTTGATAACTCAAGTGTGATCTTAAAATGGATCAAATCACTGACCACTCCCAATATATTTTTGCATAATGTATTTACAATAAGCAGCGCCGCCCTCTGAATATTAATTACTTATCCAAACCTTTACACATTTTAAATGCCTCATTAATACCTCATTGTCTCATAGATATCAGATCCTAACTTAAAACCACTTTTAAATATTATGTTATTTGTTATCCATACACTTATAAATGTTATCCCCACTCAGCCTCTACTAGAATAGGGGCGATGAGGTAGCCTAGTGGTTAAAGCATCACGCCGAAGACCCGGGTTCGATTCCCCACATGGGTACAATGTAAAGCCTATTTCTGGTGTCCCCCGCGGTGATATTGCTGGAATATTGCAAAAGTCGGCGCAAAACCATACTAGCTCACTCTACTAGAATAATGTTATTTAGTGCTGTTATGATAAGCGTAATACCGGTTACGCAACACTGTTTAATTTATCAAACAATTGAAAGATAAGTAGAAAGAATATAACATGCATAATATTTATTACAACATTTAACAAGTTGCACGATACCACATGCTATATTTGGGATTACACTTTTTCAGTAAAGTACAAAATGATACGAGTTCTTTTGTTGGGTTGAGTTCCTGGCGATTAGGTGCCTGACTCGTTGCACTTCATGACACCGCCATTAAATGAGTGAGTTTACAAAGCGTCGTATAAATGTACTAGGGCTGCGCTATATAACCGGTTTAACGGTATTTACAGGTTCAGACATGAAAACGATACATGTTGCGATACGCTGATCGAAAACCGGAATTTTAACTTGCATTCTGGAAACTTCGTAACACTCGGAAATCTTCGAGTATTTCCTTGTTTCATTTGTGCCAAATACTATTTACATTTTATTTTATCATGATTAAAAGTTGTTATTAAAGCTTAATCAAGCATAGTGATTTTGTTGGATTTTGCTATATAAATCAAGCATTAACTCGATTATAAGTAGTTTTTTGTTTAAAAATAATTCATGCAATATATTGCAATACATATCGCAATATATGCTTTCGCATCGCAATATATCGCAATATGAAAATACCCACCCCTAAAATTTACACTGCAGCCATGTAGTAACACAGTTATAAACAAACCGGATATATAATATGAATTTGACGAAAAATAGTGTTTGTCAATAAGTGAATAACACCCCTCGTTATAATTACTGTGCCATTTCGTCATAAGTTACTTCCAAATAAATTAATGACATTTATCCTGATTGGAGTATTTTGATCCAAGATAACTTCACCATTAGTTCAAGGATCAGGTCAAATTTAAGGTGAGTGATTTGATCCTGCCTCACCAGACTCAACAATATACCATCATTTTCGTAAGTAAGAAAATTTGAGTATGTAGGTTAGTGAGTGAGGTTTACGCCACTTTTAATAATATTCCTGCAATATCACAGTGAAATACACCAAAAATGGTTTTCACGCATTGTACCCATGTGTGTATCGAACCCTGGTTAAACCACTTGCCCATCCCACCGCTCCACCATTATAAGAGTGAGTGAGTGAGTTTAGCTTTACGCCGCACTCAACAATATTCCAGCTGTATGGCGGCAGTCAGTAAATAATCGAGTCTGGACCACACAACCCACTGATCAACAGCATGAGCATCGATCTACGCAACTGGGATACGATGACATGTGTCAAGCAAGTCACTCGATCCCGTTAGTCGCCCCTTACGACAAGCATGGATTACTGAAGGTCAATTCTAACTCGGACCTTCACGGGTCACCATTAGAAGAATCGACAATGACAAAATCCCTCTGCTGAAATTACAGGGAGACTACTATTGATCCTGCAATTAATTTCCCTGTAGGTTCTTGTCGCGATTTGTTTTCCGAAAACAGGATGCAGTCTGTGAGCAAACCGGGAAAGTGGTTTTTCTTATGAACAATAGGTGGGAAGATTCGTTGGTCTAGATCATGTCCGGAGAACATTAAAACGTTCTGGCTTGTAGATTGTATTTGTACACACACAAGGATGTCAGAAACAATGCCCACATCTGCCATTGTTTTCTACAGTTTGATGAACGTTGAAATACCGCCAGAAGCGGATCAAGGATTTTGTGACACAAACTTGAATACTGAAGTGGTAGTGAGTGAGTGAGTGAATGAGTGTATTACGTGACATTGTTCTGCACCTGTTTTGTTTATATATAAAGTAAGATATTAAAAACCACATGGAACGTATATATGCATAAATATAAAACACCATACAGGTGATGTAACGCTTTGAACATAATTTGATCACATCCTGAAACAAGTTTCTTGTAATTTCAGTCCCTGCATATGACCCTGCTCCTTCTTATCTCGGACTTAGCAACATCTGACGATAGAGGGAGCACTGGGTGCGAACCATGCCATTGTTACACATCTGAAGGCGTTATCGAGGCTGACTGTTCAGAGAGAAACCTACATGAGATCCCCACGCAACTGCCACCTAATATCACCGACCTCAATCTTTCAGGAAATAAGATTGTTCGTTTAAAAACTGGATATCTTAATTACACAGAGCTGCTTACGTTGAATGTTTCGTCAAACAGAATAAGAAGTATTGAGCTTGATACCTTCAAGAATCTGACCAACCTGGTGGCTTTGGACCTTCATGGTAATAAATTACCTCCAACAAAGAAGAGTTATCAAGATGGAGTATTCAGGTATCAGAAAAAGCTGAAAAAACTTTACATTCACAATAACGTTGAATCACGCTCTTACGCCGGTAGTCTCAGTAGAGGCTTTTCAAGTTCATACCCCGATGGAGCATTCAAAGACCTCTTGGCTTTGGAAGAGCTGATCATTGATGGGATGAGAGAGATATATTTTGGAAGTGGATTCCAATTCCTGGAGCAACTGAAAAATCTGTCTCTTGGTGGAGGAGATGGTGGAACATGTCAAACCCGTAACCTGCGGAATAAAACTTTTGAGAATCTACATAACCTAAAGACTCTGGATATTTCACACTGTCTGTTGCTTAACATTGAACTGTCGTCTTTTGAAAAGCTTAAAAATCTCCATAGTCTTGATCTATCATTCAACATGTATTTAGGATTATCCAAGGCTGGAGAAGCTATGTACGGACTACAGAATTCCTCACTAAAGATACTAGATGTCAGTAAATTAAGTCGTACGCTGGGGCCAAGTATAACTTTGCAAACACACCATATGAAATATCTTAGAAACATAGAAATAGAAGAATTAAATATTACAGGAAACAGAATTGAACTGATTGATCGAAATGCAATTTTATACCTTCCAAGATCTCTTAAGAAAATTTGTATCCGAGATAATCACATGGGTTTTGGGTTATACATGCTTGAATTGTCTATTTTGACGAATTTAGAGTGGTTCGATTCCTCTCATCAAGGAACATCATCTATGTCCTTTGACAACGAAAAATTGAATTCTAGATATCGGCGTCACTCAGGTCAGAACACACAACCTTTGAAATGGAGTGTTACCTTAACCATACCCCCAAATATCACGTATGCGGATTTACGTTATTGCAAAATGACATATGATATCAAAAGATTTCATTTCAGTAGGAACAGACTTCGTGAGTTAAATTTATCACATAATTTCTTCAGCAAATGGATCGGGCCCATTTGGGGATTAAAACATCTCGAGATTGTTGATTTATCGCACAATTTCTGTGATTTCATAGGAAAGGAATTTGGGAAACATTTTCCATCCATGAAAACATTGAACCTTGGTTACAATTATCTGGGCTATGCACTTCAGGATGGGGCCAGTACTATTTTAGATGATTTCCCTTTGCTTGAGAATTTGGATATGTCAAATAACAAAGTACGTGTTTTTCCAAAGACTATCCTAAACAACCTAACGCTTATCAAAAGCGTAAATTTAAGTAATAATTATTTGATGGCATGGAATTCAGATATTGTCAACTTTAACATGAAAACGCTGGACCTATCAAGAAACCTGTTTGCAGAGATTCCATCTCTATTGAGATATCAAGTCGCTGCAATGCATATGAAAGACTTCAGATTGTACTTTGAAGAAAATCCTTTGAGGTGCAGCTGCGCAACGCTAACTTCGTTGATATGGATGACAGAACATGCTTCTAGAATACACAATTATGCAGGAATGCATTGTGTTGATGACGGCAACAGGAAGATTTTAATGAAAAATATACACCAAGTCATACTTGGTCTGAGAAAAAGATGTGCATCATATGTAGGATTGACTCTAGGGATCATGTGCCTGATGATGCTGGTTCTGTGTTTGGGGATAGCAGGAATCGTGTACAGGTTCAGATGGAAACTGAGGTATCTTTTCTATCTGGCACGGATGAAACACAGCGGTTACGTTGCTGCTGCTGAGGAAGAGGATGGGACACCATTTGAGTTCGATGCCTTCATCTCCTACGCTGACGAAGACCGTAGGTTTGTAACTGAGGACGTGAGACAGATCCTAGAGGGGAGGCACGGGCTTCGCCTCTGTATCCACCATCGAGACTTTCTCGTGGGGGGAAGCTATCGCTGCCAACATCCTGAACGCTGTGAAATCCAGCAGGAAGACGGTGATCGTCCTGTCAAGACACTTCTTGAAGAGCTACTGGTGTAAGTACGAAGTGGAGATGGCTAAGATGGAGAGTATCTATTCTGGACGGAACACTCTGCTGGTTGTTGTATTGGAGAGCATCCCTGTGAAGGACCTGCCTCCTGATATTGTGCAGCTGATGCGTGAAGACTCCTACGTGGAGTATACGAATGTTCGGGAAGGTCGTGAGGTGTTCTGGCAAAATATTGAACGGGCCATACGTGCTGTGTCCTAACTTAGCATATTCTAATGTCTGTTTACTTACATTTCACTTCCTTGAACCAGGATGAATAGATTCTTTAATATATGTTGTTTTTGTTCTTTAGATCGATGTGTGTTGTGCTTGGTTGATCTCGTCAACTGTTGTTTCTGCTTTACACACACACACACACACACACACACTCTCTCTCTCTCTCTCTCTCTCCTCTATCTCTCTCTCTCTCTCTCAATTAGCGCTATTCTTGGGGATAAGCTTTACGTGATGTGTTTTGGTTGGCTGGTACTTGAATTTAAGTTTGAAGTGCGACTTTCCTTTGTTATTGTGTAGATTTAGTTCCCGGTTAACGCTTTTCTCGGGGAGATAACATTTATCGTCACATCGGCAATATTTCAGCCATATCGTGACGAGAACAATTAATTGTTATACATAGTAATTAATGGTAAAGTATAAAAACCTGTCAACGAAGACTGTAAAAAAACTAGATTATCACAGATATGAATTTAAAACTAGTAATTAAATCTAAAACAGTTTAACTATAGATGACAATACAATATAAAAACAGGCTATAGATTGCCAACAACTAAACGTAGATCACCATACTAGAGACCAAGGGGACTTACAGTGCATTTGCTTCCTGCATGGGCCCAAGCTGGATTTATATAATTCCTTCAGCTGTTAGCAATTTAGACAAATCTAGCCTTATATTAAAAATATTCATATTCTACGATAAAAAGTGGAGAGTTTTAATTTACCTTGAATGTTTTCTACACACGAACAAGTATGACATGTTTTAAATAAAACATAAATATATCACTTGTATATAAGCACATGTGAAACATGTGGCCTCACCTTTGGCAAGTGAGTTTGTTCAAAATTGCCTCTGTTCACCCAGCAGAAAATGGGTACCCGGTTGGATAAGTCAGGTGACTATTTACATTCAAGCGCCTCATAGGCAGCTTGGGTTATCAGGGGTGATATTAATCAACTAGCAACTAGATACTACAAAAATGAATTATTATTATTATCCCTTTGTTAAGAGTTGGCCACATAAAGACTTTTTAGGCCCAAAGTCGCACTAAAACATTACCGAACTCCTTACCGCCGTGATGATAATAAGGTGTTTTGCGCTTATCGTGGAGTGTTTTGGCGGGTTCTTGAGAGTTTGAAGTACGATTTCCTTTCCGACTGTGTACATATAGTTCCTGGTGTTCATCTTGTAATCCGACAAAATGCTTGGCAGTTGCATATATCATCAGTATTGTAGTGATTGCTTTATGCTAAAGTTGTAAATAAATATTTTTGCTTTTGTCTGTTGTTAATGATTGTTTTCGTAACATGGGTGAGTGAGTTTAGTTTTACGCCGCACTCAGCAATACTCCAGCTATATGGCGGCGGTCTGTAAATAATCGAGTCTGGATTGACAATCCAGTGATCAATAGCATGAACATCGATCTACGCACTCGTGCTGCGATGCATTCTCTAAGCTTCTAAGGCGGCCAGAATGTCGTGCTGCGATGACCTTGCGTCCCTTCACTGTGTAAGAAACATAGGGTACTGATTTTCATACCCTGGTACCACCTGAGTATGTTTTTGGTTTATGGATGAGCTCCTTGCTTGTAGGTTTCACCAATGTGATTTCAGTCAAAGAGCTGTTTCACTTTGAGAGCTCTTCCCGTGAAGCTGACACATAGGGTCCGGGTTTTGCTGGTAAAAATGTTGAAACTCACCCACACAATTGATTGTCCAACGAAACTATGGTTGTTTACCTTGTTTGATTGCAAGTAGTATGAGGCTGCTTGACGGCGCTGATAATATCACCCACTGGTGTTCCTCATCAAGATTCCTCAACAATATAGCTAACTGGGATGTAAAATAACAAAAGACCAAGCCCAACTGCTTGTTTACCTAGACTCTCACGGCTTCAAATAGAGATGGGTTGCTAGGTCGTAAAACGGCGTAAAATCCAACTCACTCACTACTTTGAATATTATCTCAGTTGAATTTTTTCGTTTTTTATTTTTATTTATTTATTTATTTATTTTTTTTTTGCAGGGTTCGGACCACCACCCCTTTTGAAAATGACTTAAGACCACAGTGAAGATTCTGTTGTTGGCGGGCACCTCATACCACTGCCTGGCAATTCCTGGATCCGCCCATGTACACCCATATTTGATGATCGCTAAAAGTAAACAAACATGAAATGTTCTTTTGGTTGGTCGTGTGGATAACACACGCATCATAGCCGTGTTTTTGGACCTTTAGTTTGCAGTGCTTCGGTCACTGCTTTCAGACAATTTCATGTTCGTACGCATATATGAAAAACGACACAAGAAAATATAGTCTATTATCTAGACCTTGTCGGCTGCCCATTGCTATCATTCCATCACATCCAACAAGACGCTCTGTGGTCCAAGGGAGATAACTCCAATTAATTAAGTGGGTTTTTATTCAGCTGATCAATGGCGTAGTTCCAATGCACATTGTGTTAGGCAAGTGTAAGTTGTGTATAGTTTCGTTTAGGGAAGAAATAACACACACAAATGGATACAGCAAGACATAATTCACACGCTTCAATATGATTTGTATTAATTCCAGACTTTGCGAACAAAGTAAACGGTGGTCTCATCAACATGGCAGAAATTACGCCATGAAAGCTATGCTTGAGCCCAACAAAAGAACATTTCTCAAGATGGTAATGCTTGCCCAACTGAACCTTTTTGTCAATAAAATAGATCCTTCTACCCAATCACTGTTTCACTGCAGTCGACAAAATTGCATTTTTTTTGTTATTGTCTGTTAAAATCGAATGTTCAAGGGTATATAGAGAATCTCACCCTCGTGTCTTCTGATATCAATTATATCAACACGAGTTGATAAAGTTACAAATATCCGAGGCTTGCCGAGGATATTTTTACTTTATCAACGAGTGTTGATATATTCGATATCTCCTAGGATATCTCACACAAAGCGATATCTCCTGTGGAACACAGTTTTGGATGATAAACCTTTTTTCCGTCGGTGGTTTAGATTCATGTGACTATGTTAGTTGTTATTTAGCATTAGTACCCGGAAATTCCATTTGGAACCAAAGGCATTTTCAGAACGAGAAAAGAAAACAACTAATTATATATAAGTTGCAGTTTTGATAAATTATTGATCAGACTTCAGAATTAATAACGTTGTATCCATGTCTCCAAACCGAAGAGAACGTTTCTAAAATGTAAACTTTAAATGTGCTACAGGCCTGTGGCCTTTTTAAGTACTGAATAAAGATTGATTGATGTAATCACTCACCAGAATAAACTTAGTCAATTCCACGTTTTTCAGCAGTGTCATGAGCATGTGTTTATGAATCAGTATCAAATAGAGCTGGCTATCGATATAAATCAAAGAGATTGAAAACAATATTGGGAAAAACATATTTCCGGGACTGGAGCTTCAAGCTTGTCATCCAACCAAACTGTTGAACGAGGCCATTTGTTGTACAACGACGTTTGGAATGCGTTGGTACTTTTGTTTTACTTAATTAAGTTCCAACATTCACACCATGAGTAGGTTTTTTCGAAATAAACTGTATGTGTTTAAGATCCTTGTGACAAACGGTTATAACCGTTTAAAGCATATAAAGCATATGCTTTCTTTGTAAATCGTTGCAGGGCCTCTTCTATTTCATGGACCTCTTCTATTAGATGTTTGCTCTTTTCTTATGGTTTTGGTATCGTGTGGGAAAACCAAGGAGTTGGAGACAAGTCACTGTTTTAACCATTTTCAAGCAGAGAGTTATTGACTGTTGGAGACAAAATTGGTCAGTAAACATTAAGGAAAGTAACAAGTTATCTCTTTATTGCCAGTATAAATCTTCACTTGAAATGGAGTCATATTTTAATGTGGTGCAAATAGACAGATATAGAATAGCTCTAACCAGATTTAGATGTACAAATCATGATCTTACTATTGAAACAGGGAGATGGTTAGGAATTATTAGAGATGAGAGAGTGTGTAAATACTGTTTGTCTATGTCCAAAAGTTGTGTACTTGAGGATGAAATTCATTTTCTTATTACTTGCTCTCAATATCATGATCTTCGATCCCAACTGTTGAATATTCCCTATTATCTCTCCAACGAAAAGAAATTTATCCACATCATGAAGTGCGAGAATCAGTCACTATTAGCAGAATACATATTCAAGGCCTCAGCTGTGAGACAGAAGTTCCTCAATACCTGATGCAAGCGAGACAACTCAATCATATTCCGCATAACATCTTGTCTACCTACAACTATGGTTTAATTGTTTGACTTGTAACCATTACAAATCATTGTGCTCATTCATCACTATATACATATACAATTTGCTATGACTTGATATGCTCTTTCTCAGAATTTTGTACCAAATTGCAAGGGAGTTAACCCTATCAACTTTTGCATTATCATATTGTCAACCTATAATTATTATTGTTCAATTGTACAATGTATCTGCTTGTATAATTATGCCATTCACGCTCTTATGTAAGAGCCACCAAAACAAAATGTTATGTATTGTTTGTACTCTGGACCTATGACCCCTATTACCGAAATAAATTGAACTTGAAAAATCGTTGCAGGGTTCATTATAATAATTTAGAAATAGATGACAGCGTTGAGTGTGATTGGTATACCTTCGAACGACTTCTAAACAATCTTTTTAAGGACATGATAAACGACAAAATTGGGGTATTGTTTTGTAGTAGTAGCCTTGGTGAAAAGGTCTGCTTCTCAGGCTGCAGGTCCTGGTTTGATTCTTATTTTGGGGTACACGTATTGAGTGAGTGAGTTTAGTTTTACGCCGCACTCAGCAATATTCCAGCTATATGGCGGCGGTTTGTATATAATCAAGTCTGGACCAGACAATCCAGTGATCAACAGCCTGAGCATCGATCTGCGCAATTTGGAATCGATGACATGTGTCAACCAAGCCAGCGAGCCTGAGCGCCCGATCCCGTTAGTCGCCTCTTACGACAAGCATGGGTTACTGAAGGCTCATTCTAACCCGGACCTTCACAGGTTCATAACGCCGACCTTTCGACCAAACTTTACGGTTGAGTGAAATATAAAGGTCGACGTCCTGAGACTAGTTTCATTTTGCCAATTAATAATGGATTACGAGGACAATGCAGGATCAAAGAGTTGTTAGAGGAGGATAATCCGGATTATGCGGATGAGAGCGCACCTAATGAGAAGATGACAACAGCACAGATTTAATGAATAAATACATCGTAAATTCATATAGCATACATTTTTTCACAGATTTTAAGCTAAATGCAATAGGTGTCCCTTGACGTAGTGTTGTTGGAATATTGTTCGAGCCGGTGAACGTACGTAACTGTCACACTTAACATAAACAAAGCTCTCGCATTAGCCTAAGATCTCGTAACCTTTCTCGTAGTAATCGTACCTCCTATACTGTAGCATAGACTTACGACAGCCCTATGACTGTCTTGATCTATGTTACAGTATAGGAGGTACGACAGTCTGAGCGCTACGATAGCTTTGTGAAACGGGGCCCTGGTCGATCACTTATCGTCTTATCACTTCTCTTTGTTGAAACTGGACACGTAACAACGTCGGAAAATATAAAACTGTAACAGGATCCTTATGTAATTTTGAATGTTTTATTGTTAACTAAACAGTACCAGTTATGTGTGAAAACTGTTTTCACAGAAATCGGATGTAAGGGTCCTTTTGCTAGTCGTGATACTGATGTGAATTTCTAGGTGAAATGTGCCCGAAACATGAATGTAAAGCTAACTTTATATTCTCTTTAATTCTATTTTCATGACTTGGCTTGCCAAATCTGTAAAACAAATTACAAAGAGGGACAAATTAAAAAAACAACAAAAACCCCTGAAACACTGAAAACTGACAATTACAACTTGAAATCACGCTGGTTTGCTAAAAAAAATTGTTGTCTTGTGAAGCGGCAGTTAGAAAAGCGTAGGAATATATTGTCTGGGCAACTTTTATTGAATGGCTTCAATATGACTGATTTCATAACGATAAGCACACTTGCATCGGTACCGAGAAACAACATGATATAGACTACGCAATTAATATTTATATCAACTTGTATTTTTTATATTTGTAAATAAACTATTTATGCTTTAAGTTTTAGTCTGGAAGATAGTCGACATAATTTCAGCTCACGAATGATCCAGAATCTGTTCCGTTTGCTTCCATGGACACGAGCAAGACTGCATTTACAAATAAGCGATGTGCAGTTTCCCAGCTTTCGTTGTGTTTGGACTCGTCCGAGCGACTCCAATGTACAGTACTCTCCCTGACTATTGAAACACTGAAAAAGGAGCACAGTTATTAACAACAACACGCTTGTTTGGACACAGACCTGTTGTAGCAGAGAAGAGTGTATTTGTCGACGATTTTAGTTCATGTATGTGTGGAAAAGAGGTTTTGTGTTGGATCTCTCTGTATTTATGTCTCCTCAGAACTCTTTGCTGGAATGACAATACTGATGTTAGGCCGTGAGACATGAAAACGATCTGTAAACCGACCTGTTGGCATGGTGTTGCTTTTCGTTTTTGTAATCGTTGGAGAACTAAGGTTACAACGCACTCAAAGGACCGCTATTGTTTTCCGTAATAACTGCAGTTGGTTAAACGCATTTCGACTCAAATATATTAGCCGTGAACCACAAAACAGTACAAAATAGTTGTTATAAACGTGGTTGTTATTATGCCTATGGTAGTTTAATATATATGGTCTAATTCTGGACAGGTCTGGGTAATTGGCCTCAGACTAACACTGGTTTTCTTTCTTCGTTACCTGTAATGACATGACGCCCAACTATAGTTAATATCAGTCTATAACTCTTCTGCTGTTGCATACTGACTAACTTGCCTCTTGAAACTCAAACAGCAAATTATCAGCCTTGATCCACCATCAAGATAAGTTGTCATCGTCAAAAATTGTTACCAGAACTATTCAGCAGACCCACATATCAGTCTTGAACTTGGTGTGAAATTCGCAAAAAACAGTAATGTATAGATCTAATCTTCTGTTGAAGACATCACAAATCATACGTATATCATATGGACATAGTAAATGACTGTATATCTCAGCCGTGTATAAAACAACACAATTCGCTGTACAGAGTTGTGTTTCTTTGACATGCTTGGATCTGCTGATTAGGGTGGGTTGTCATTTCCAGCACAGAACCATGTTGGAGGTTTGATGAAAGAGGTCTGGTTCAGACATGACTATTTACATATATCTCATAGAAACATCATCAGAACATTCATGTGTCAGAACAACAAAGTCCTGTGTTTAGTGTTAGATATGTTAACATGGCATATAATACAACGTACATCAATTTTAGAAGATTTCAGTGTTATTGTGTGGGATGTTCATCACTGTTATCAACCAAAGGTTACTTGACTGAACAGAATTTCACTATACTCTGGATCTGGACCAGTGGCTAAATTGTTTGACTGTGTTTATATTTTCTCCCCTCTATCTCTCTCTGTTGGGGCAGTGGGGTAGCCCAATGGTTTCAGTGCTTGTTACGCTGATGACATGGATTCGATTCCCCACATGGGTACAATGTGTGAAGCCCAATTCTGGTGTCACCCACCATGATATTGCTGGAATATTGCTAAAATCGTCGTAAAACTCGCTCACTCACTCTCTTTTTCTCTGATACATGTTTTATCTCCATTTCTTTGCTTCTGTTTCAGATTGAATTATGGCAGAGAATACGGATAATAAGCCTGAAACAAAAGCAAATGAACAGGATACCAAAGGTAAGAAAAATAAGCCCATAGATACTCATGTTACCTGGATTCTGACAGCTGAAACCAAACTGAATTTAGTACCCAATTTCTACAGTAACATGATGCAAATCTACATTATGTCTTTTTTCTCAAGCATTAATTTTGTTTCAGTTTCAAACATAGGAATCTATAGTGAAAATCTGCAATCAATTCATTTTTAATTTATTTAGTTCATAATAAAATTTTAGTGTTATCATGTGCACAACTATTAGCTGAGCTTACTGGAACTGACAGACATTTAACTCTGAAGTTTCAAACTAGTGGCTAAGTTCACAGAGTGGTCAAGTACATGAAACCAAGGGTTTTATTGTTGGATTTATATATCCACGTTTTCAAGAATCCAATCTTGACCGCTGGCAATATGGAACAAAAATTGCTGACAAAAATGTATGATCTGCCAATAACTTCAGATAGAGATGAATTTCTTCTCTTTACTAGATGTTAACGGTCACCGAGACGTGATCAACCATTGGATGACATCATATGCTACCATGGCAACCGAACAACCTAGTGAGTAGAATCCACATAAGTGAAGCTTGTAACTTTAAAATAATTTTGTACATAAAGAATACAATATTCACTTACCAAGGTCCTCTCAATCATGATGTTATTTCAAACACTGAAACAATAAAATTCTAGCGTATCCAGATTTTGGAGAAGGGGGATGCACATAAATCATGAAGTCCAAAGGTTAAGGGAAATGCTCCTCAGGGGAAAAATTGGGGGCAGAGGGGGTGTGGGCACATGTACATAATGTACAACCCTGACATTCCCTATTCTGAATAGTTATGAAAATGATATCCAGCTTTGAAATCTATTCATCACTAATATCAAATGCTTTTTGTAGAATAAATATCCTCAAGCCTGAACTTTGATGTTCCTGCAAAATGTTACTTGACAGGACATACATAGTGAATAAACATGAAGTTTCCTTTGAAGATTTTTCAACAATCATTAATTTGTGGAGCATGTGAATCTGTTTTCTATATCATTTAAAATTGAATTATCCTCAGAAAAGAAGACCTGTACATTCAGTGACAACGTGTTGATTTGTATGGGCATGAGCAGTTGAAGATTGTAACTGAAAGGCTCTTAGAGGAACAGTCATTTGTTTAAAGTAGACCTAGGTTTATAAGCTGATTCACGATTTTCAAAATGCTGAATAACTGTCTTCCTGTGAGAAATCCAAGTTAGAAGTTTACTCAAACACATTTTGTGCATGTGTGTTAACATTATTCTTTCCAGTGACCTCATCTTACCATAGTCCTAAAGTGTTAACACTATTCATTCCAGTAGGCACAACTTATTATTGTGCACTTGTGTTAACACTATACTTTCCAGTAAGCACAACTTATTATTGTGCACTTGTGTTAACACTATTCATTCCAGTAGGCACAACTTATTATTGTGCACTTGTGTTAACACTATACTTTCCAGTAAGCACAACTTATTATTGTGCACTTGTTTTAACACTATTCTTTCCAGTGACCTCATCTTACTATAGTCCTAAAGTGTTAACACTATTCGTTCCAGTAAGCTCAAATCATTACAGTGCATATGTGTTAACACTAAAATCTATGGGAAAACAAGTTCAGCTTGTCGACTGCAGACACTGCAATATTAATGAATGCTTTTTAGTTCATACCTGTAGTTTTATTATCATTGAATTTCAGAAGGGGAGAACCTGGAAGATCTGTTGTCAACGCTTCAGAAACAGATCAAGGGATCTGATTGGTTGAAAGAAAACACTGCAGAGAAGTGGGCTACTGAAAATAAGGATTTAGCAGAAGAATTCATGAAAGCTAGGGAAAACAAGGAGAAGAAGGAAGACTCTTGACGAAAAATGAAATTTTCTGGAAAAGACAGTATGGAAGTTAGTACTGAGGACTCTTGGAAGCCAGGCTCAGGTTCATGGTTGTGTTGATAAGCCAGTACACATAGGTTACCACAGTGATGTTATCACTGATATTTCTCCTCATTGCCATGCATGTCAGAAGAAATAGTCCATGAGGCAGTTGACCTAATCTTGAATGGTACCAAAATGTTTTGGAATATTATTAAAATTAATCACATAGTGATGATGAACAAAACGATATACTAGTATGCTATAATACTTGTGCAGACTTGATGCATGATGCAACTGAATGTAAAATGATGGTATAGTATAGACTTTTGTACCTGTGTCATGCAATCTAATGAACGCTGACGACTGGGTGAACACCGAGCCTTGATGAGGAAGACATGGTCGAGGGGAGATAATTAACACATTGGTTTCAGATTACCTCCCTTTGACCAACCCAAACGGGTACATGCAAGAAGAATTTCACGGGGTTTTTTTTATGGCTGTGGCAAGTTTTCATGAGTAACAAACTACAGATGCAACAATTCAATTGTTTCTTGGCAGTTATTTTAAACGTGTTTTACTGAATTTTAATTCATTTTGCATATTTTTTGTATAATATATAGAGACAGAATGAAACTAATGTTTTGGGGGTTGATTCAAGAATAATTAACAAAAATGTAAGTTCACAAAATTATAATGTGGAATAAAGAATATATTTATTAAGACATTATTGTCATCTTTGTTTACTATTTTCAGACTTCATGACAGGTTGTTAAGAAGTAGTTATATATATATAGCATAATATGACAGCATATTACCAGTGTATGAAATAAGGCCCATCCAACCGCCCGAGACGGTCTAAATTTCTGACGGACGGTCTAAATTTACAGCTAGCCAGCTCAATGGTCTGGTAAAAAATTTAGATGTTCCATACATCTGAGTTAATTCACCATATTTGGTCTGGTTAAATCCTTTTTGGGCTGGAAACATTTTGAAGTTACCAGCCCTGATGTCTGGCTGGATTTTTGGCTTATTTCATACACTGATATTACATAGGGTATGAAATGGTCAAACTGGTGTGGTGTTCTTGTGTGTGTCTGTGTGTGTGCCCTCCTTGCCAGCCTCTGGTTGTCTGGTCCAAATTTGGTTGTTGTATAGTTGTATAGTAACATACTGACACATCAAATAAAACAACATTCACCCAATTGCTCATGAGAGTTTAATGTTACACTTCACAATAATTTACAATTTGACGATAGTCTGTAAATATGCTTCAACCAGGTCAGTGAGAATGACCACACGATCCCTTTAGTCACCTGTTTGTACACAAGTCATGAAAAGAGGGTCTTGTTTCTTGCCTGTCAAAATGTCTCCTTGATATCATATTCTGTGAAATATTTTCAGTGTTTATTGCTGTATCTACTCTACACGGTCACATTCTGACTGCTATGAGCTGAAAGAGACAAAGTATGAGTGGATCAGTCTGAAGTGATGGGGGCGGTGGGGTAGCCTAGTGGCTAATACATTCGCTCATCACGCAGAAGATCGGGGTTCGATTCCCCACATGGGTACAATGTGTGAACCTGTTTACTGGTGTCCCCACTGTGATATTGCTGGAATATTGTAAAAAGTGGAGTAAAACTAAACTCACTCAAGTGACAGGAAGTCACACTCTTCCTGTAAAGGTGAAGAGGAGTAGCACGACCAAATTTGTTATCGTGATGGTACATCATCCTATCTGTCCAATGTTGTCAGTAGATATGCCATCATAGCTGGAAACCACACAAATTTACATCCATTCATCCAAAACAGCAAGCTAAATTTAGAATTTATGTTACTCGGATTAGAAATATTTAAAAGGTATATACTTTTAGTTTTACTTCTTTACAAAACTAAACAAGCTCTCTTCTTCAAGTGGAAAGTCTGGAAGATAACTTGTAGTGGTGCAGGGGTGGAAATAACCCATTGCCCGACGCCCCAGTCCAGTGTTTTTTTCTGTCGGGCAAGCAAATTTGTATATCACGCTGTACCGGTGTCCAGTTGACTTTCAAATGTTATGTTGTTTATTTAAAAAGACAACAAGAAAATCGTCCGGTATAGTGGAAAAATTGTCAGGGCAAGTGGTTTTGCATGTTCCACTGTACCGGAGTACACTAGCAATTTTAAAGTTATTTCCACCCCTGAACTATGTAGAGGTCAGTACAATGACCAGTGTAAATCAAGATGGGTGGCATGGAGAGTTGCTGTCTCGTCAGTTTCCTTGTGTGTTGGCACTACTGTTTTTACTCACATGGTGTACAAGCATGGTTACAGTGCTATGTGTGTCTGAACCAAAAGAAAGCAGATCCTGGCATAGCTAAGGGAGGCAAATTGCTTCAGTGACTCAATTACTTGGCCACCTGGGCTACTTATACCAGCTATATAAAGTCATGAGACTTAAGACCAAGTTTGGCCAGACCAATTTTACGCCTTGCTTATGGATGCACTGGATGTTTGGTGAGAATTTACAACTGGACAACATATTCTGTTTTGATGAGTCATGTCAAGACATGTTTGAACTCATTCAGCAAAAATCAGTTTAGTTTATTTCTAATCCAGAATGAACACTTTCAAAGTTTCATGTAACCAGTGACAAGTTTACAGTGTCGCTGACTATATACAAATAGCTCAGTTCATGACACATAAAGTACAAGAACACTTGTCACATGACAACAATACATGACCAGTCATCCATGGCAATCATTTGTACTTGTTAACAGGCAAGTGCAAATCGACAACACGGTTCAACGCCTGCAGTAAAGTTAGCATATGTGTGGTACAGTTTGTCTTTGTAATTTTCAATGACCTGAATCCCATTATGCTGACTGGTTCTACAATGAGTGTGGGTGGGGGAAGCTGTATAGCAGGCAGGATATGGCCGTATTATGACTTGCATGTGTAAAGCTGAACTTGGAGAATGTCTATGATTTCTTAATTTAACATAGCAATTTTCTCGTTTTGAATATTTTTATGTAAAATTAATGGATTGGGACTGATGACTGAGACTTTTCTTGATGAGTCAGCATATAATACCCTGATAGTGTGGATAGCCGGTTATCAAATCAATAAGCAGACTATCTATGTAGAAGATGAATGAAGATTGATGGTTCAGAACATACCATTTTGATGCTGATTTTAAGGGTCAAGTTAGGTCCTTGGCTTATCTACAGTCAGAAAACTCTGGGGAATCAAGCTGCCAAACATGATCATCCATCAAAAGTCTGTCTGTGATTAATGTTGCTTAACTTCAACTGATTTGTGACCTGGGCTCTATGCACAAGACCAAACAGCCACCAACAGTTTTATGATTAATTTCCTTGATATTGTGACTAACAAACCTTGTGCCAGTTTGCTCTGTCATGTTAATTAGTCTTATGCAGTGGTGATAGAAAGGAGATAGTTGAGAAGGGAGGCATGCTCACGTGTATGTTTGCGAATGTATGAACTTGTGGAGACTTTTGCTGGTTTCATAAGAGATTCATGTCGCAGTTCAACGTGGCTACTCTGATCAGACTCGGAGGTGAGGTGAAATAGCTTACTCTGTGATTAGTAATTGGCACCTTAAGTCAGTCAATGAGGAAAGTTTCAAGTGAGATATTAATCACTTTGTGGAAATCCATGAGCATGGGTGTGGTGTTGACAAACAGGAACTGTGATTCGAGGTGAGGTGAGGTGAAATTGGGTTTAACGTCGTACTTAAGAATATTTTGCTCACATGATGGTGTGCATGTGTCTGTAGGTGTATGTGTGGCTGCTTGTACTAGCCCAGCTTTATGCTGGTTTTATTGTGCTAGCTCACTGAGATACCATGCTGCAGTGAAGCATGAATACCCCACTCAGACACATTATACTGAATCCGAGCCAACCAGTCCTTGTTGTACCCATTAATGCCAAGCGCCAGGCAGGGACCAACAAGTACCATATTTTAACATGTTGTGGTATGATGTGGGATTGAACCGGCTTGATTTGACTGAATCAAGTCGGGACCAGACAATCCAGCGATCAGCAGCATGAGCATCGATCTACACAATTGGGATGATAATATGTGCATTTATGAAGTACTAAACTCAATACACTAGGTGAATGCTCATAGCGCTAACAATCAAATCACAGCACATTATTACCCCAGAAAACCCAAGCTGCCTGATAGGCGCTAGAAGGTTATAGTCACAATCTTATGACACAACCAAGTCAGCGAGTCTTACCACCCAATCCTTTTAGTCGCCTCTTAGTTTGCTGAAGACCAATTCTAACCCGGATCTTCACGGGCCACCAAGCAGGGTGACAAGAGCCATCTTTTGGTATGACGTAGCAAGGTATCGAACCTTCTTCCATTCTCTGGGCAGACAGGACTAAATCACAGAGATCACAACAAGTTTGATTGAGTGAGTATGGTTTTACGTCTTTTTTACCAATATTCCAGCAATATCACTGCAGGGGACAACAGAAATGGGCTTTACATATTATACCCATGTGGGGAATCGAACCTGGATCTTCAGCGTGATGAGCCAACGCTTTAACCACTAGGCTACCCAACCGCCCCCACAAAAAGTTTGAACAAGAGTCACCAAACTGTCAAGTTGTGCTCCAGAAACGAGGCCTGACCACCATTTTTAAGACTTAAGTCCAAGCCGTTTCCATGGAAACCAAGAAAAAAATAATTGACAAAAATCTGTAAATAGCAAAAGGCACCACTTTAGGTTCTGATTGATATATCTACCAATTTTTGTTGAAAAATATTGAATGGTTTTTGAGTTCCGAAAACAGAATCATCACAGACGGACGAGGCGACGACTATATCCCCCCGCAGTACATGCCGGGGGATAACAATGTAAACAAATCTTGTAATGTTTGAACAAGGTGTTTTATTCACCTCAGTATTTCATTGCACTTGACACAATTCCATGAAACTATTACATGACAAACGCCATTCATAAATACTGGTTCTCTAAAATAATAATGATTATTGATGATCATCAACCAGATGTTTCTCTTGTTAATTGCAAGTCGGCTATTCCTATATTATAATTATACAAATATACATGTGTAATTAGCACTTGGTGCAATTCAAAATTTCTTTATGTTTGACAAACATATCACAGCTCATATTATCATAGCACAAATGAAAATGAAACACATTTAAAGGTAGAAATCAAAATGATTACACCAGTAAAATTAAAAGCATTTTCTTTTCAGTTGGAATATAGAATACAACACCTATTATTTACCTGGTAAGAACATCAAACATACCCAATATCCAAAATACATCTTGACCAAATACTAAAGGTATCTGTACATGGCCCAAAAAGCACCCTATTTATTTATTCATTCATGTGAATTGCTAGTCTTGTAAACCCATTCCTTTGTCTGAATTAAAAGTTTCTTCCAATGTTGAATAGATGTAGACCTTGCAATAATGTTTGATAGCTCAGTGAGGACATGCAAAACTGGGATGCCAAATCATAATCTCTGCTTGAACTGTCCTACACAGGATTGTTTTCTTTGTTGTTGAACACCGCATTGAGCAATATTCCAGCTATATGACGGCAGTAACAGACAATCCAGTGATCAATAGCATGAGCATAGATCTATCCAATTGGGATGACATGTGTCAACCAAGTGAGAGAGTCAAACCAAACGATCCCGTCAGTCGCCTCTCACGACAAGCATGGGTTTCTGAAGTCCAAGTCTAACCCAGGTATTCGCGGGTTCGTACACAGAAGAGTTCTAACAATAGTGTATAGTCAGTATGAACTTAACTACTTTGGGCCGTTGACCAATTCCAAGTATATTGGCAAAGTAATACATATATGATATCAGGTAAAGCACACTTGGAAACTCAAAATATGTGACAATCTGTAAATAAGAATATATAGAAACCAGTCAGATCACAGGATATATTGTGGAGTATTGATCATGAAATGTGCCTTAAACACAAAAGATCAAACATATTTAGAATTGCTTGTAATACCATTACTAACATGTAACTCTGCACAGCCCCTAAACGTTTACTAACCACAATGGATTGGCTTTGCCCAACCACAGTAACCTTTCCAACTTAAACAAGTTAGTTCCCTATTTAAACAAGTGACATGGAATAGCTTTACACGAGGGGCTGAGCAGACGGGAATATAGTATGGTTCAGGACTGTATTCAGGCAAGTCTATTGCAATAACCCTGTTACAAGCATGTCATTCTAATTTTGTTTTGCAATTTGAGGACAGAAATGAATTGTTTGATCAAAAAGTAAACAAAAAATTCATTTTTAAAACTGTCGCTAACAATGTTGAACTTTTTCCAGCTGAATACATTCTGACGCTGTCGGGCCTTAATAAGAAGCCTACACTGTCAGATCTTTCACATTGTATTAACAGTGACAAGGCCTCAATTAATGAGGGCAAAATTATATCATAAAATCTGAGAAGTTACACTATGTAGTGGGTACGGAAAGTGTACACTTGCACTGACGATGAAAATTATAATAATCTTAACATAAATATATAACATAAATAGCAATAATAAATGCTCTTGTATCACACGATGTTAAAAAAAGACAGTTTGGCTGGATTTTTATAAGGGAAGAGAACTCCATTAAACAATACACAAGATAAATGCAAATTATCTGCAAAAACTAAACAATTAAAATGGCTGTTTAATATTTGTTGAAAACATGTCACCAAATGATTTAAACACAAAAACATGGGATATGTGCTTACAAATATGAATAAAATTGGATTGTTTTCACTTTTTACCTGTAAAAATGATGGGCAGGTATGAGAAATATTGGGCCAAGGGGCTCATTAATTTAAGACAGGGAGATTCATTTGTCTTTTCAATTGGTGAATGACCTGGACGCCCTCACACCCTGAACCAATGTCTTTAAGCTCTCTCCTTCATTGCTTAACATAAAATCATTCTCAACCCATCCAACTGAAATGACAATGTCATTGATTACCGGTATGTCATCATGTGATGAAGAGTCTCATGAGGTCTTACAACATATTTTTGCCTGGTGTAAAATATTACACCTTGCATCCATACAAATTCAAAAATGATGCAAATAACAAACATTGATAGTCTGTAAACTGCAAAAATTAAAAAAACTGAATCAAATTTATCAAACTTGATGTTATACATAACAAATCATTTTTCTTCTGGTGAGAAAACACACAAAGTTGCAGGTGCCAGTGTTTGAATTTGTTTCCTCTCTAACACTGTACCACCAAGAAAGGTTTCATGCTTCTGAACATGTAGGAGTCCTTGGCTGTCATATAACATCATATCAACAGAAGCAGTCTACATATCACCAACCCAGGACAATCATATTCTTGCTAGGATCCCCATGTATCCCATGTTTCTGCCCAATCCCTGTGTTCTTGTCTTGGACACCCATGTTTTTGAATGGGACCTCCACATTCTTGCCTGGACCCCCATGCTTGTTTTTGGGACCCCCATTATCTTGCCTGGGATCCCGTTGTTATTGACTGGAACCCCCATATTCCTGCCCAGAACCCCCATGTTCTTGCCTGGGACCCCCATGGTCATGCCTGAGTCACCCATGTTCTTGCCTTGGATCCCCATATTGTTGCTTGGTACCCCTTTGTTCCTGCCCGGGATCCCTGTATTCTTGATAAGGACCCTCATGTTCTTGAATGGGACATCCACATTCCTGCCTGGACCCCCCATGTTCTTTGTTGGGACCCCCATGTTCTTTCCCGGGATCCCCGTGTTCCTGCTCAGAACCCCCATGTTCATGCCTTTGTCACCCATGTTCATGTCTGACTCCACCTTGGCCCAAGAAGAGATACCAAAATTCCTAACAGCATATGACAACACATGACAAAAGCACATACAAAATATCAGATCAATAGACGAGTGACTGGGATATTATGACCTGAGAGATTACTACATAATGCCTACTGCTACATTTGCAAACATTGTGAAGCACAATGAACATAAAGTTTCATGAGTTCATGCTTCATAAAACAAGGAAACAATTCTGTCACATGTTAGTAGTATCCCAGAAATCTTGAACAAGAATATCCATATCAACATACAGATCAACATGTCATCTCAGGAGATTGTTCATATAAGCCTATACATTTCTGTCGGGCAAGCAAATTTGTATATCACACTGTACCGTGTCCAGTTGACTTTCCAATGTTATTTATATTGTTTATTTTAAAAAATCAACAAGAAAACGGACGGTATAGTGGGGAAATGATCAGGGCAAGTGATTTTACATGTGCCACTGTTCCGGAGTACACTAGCAATTTTAAAGTTATTCCCACCCCTGCTGTAGCTTGTTCACCGATCCCTATTCAATTTTAGTTGAATAAAAATATGTTTAAACCACATGCCATCTTCTTAAAGTATTGCATCATCACCATGATTGCAATAAATACAACAATGTGCAGACATATTGTACAAATACACAGACACACAGAATCAAGTTTCAGCTTCTCACAAGATGCAACATTCATCAAAAATATTCTGTATCCACATAAACAGGATAATACCATTATAAAAAAGTGACTCATCTTCAAGTGAGTGAGTGAGTGAGTTTTATGCCAATTTTAGCAATATTACAGCAATATCACGGTGGGGGACACTAGAAATGTGCTTCACACATTGTGCTTATGAGGGGAATCGAACCTGGGTCTTCGTGTGACGAGCAAATGCCTTAACCACTGGGCTAGCCCACCGTCCCTCTCATCTTCAATGGCTGTAATTACAGTAAGCATAACAATGGAGAATTGGCCTTGTTCATGTGGAATTGAGAAAAAAAATTATTCTATCAAAATGTATTCTTGAGCAGTAATACATTGATACTAATTAGAGGATTTAAAGTTTTGCAGCATTTCCGAAATGAATATTTGATACAGGGAAATATATTTTTGACAAAAACATACTACCAACAGAAACTATCATAACTAAAACCTTAAGGGACATTAATTATGAACTCTCTTTGGATGTTTACCCAACCAACCAGACATCATCTCTGGAATATCTTAATAAATCATTGAAATCACACGCTTCCATGACAACCAAACAGCTACACTGGAAGAATTCATTAAAAAAGAACAAAAACTACATTATTACTTCAGTATTCAACTCAATGACATTCATACAAAATATAATATTCATATCACTATGCTTCGGGCCAAGTTTCCAATATTTTGGAAAAGAAATGATCAAAAATAATATTTCTCTTCTCGCTTTGTCAATCAATCAGCTTGTGCCTCTAATTTACATTTGTTGTAAAATTAGCTAATAAATTATCTTTATTTACAAGTTGTACAAGTTCTGTCAGTTTACAAGGACAGATCTTTCTCCTATATAACTAATATATACATATAAACAGTGATACTGCCTTGTGAGACAGAATAACTACCAAATGCTTTTGAAAGAAAAATCTCTACATTTTTCAAGAAAATCAGATCATAACCAATGTAATGCCTTTTGATGTTTGGTTTACCAATTTGGGACGTCAATAGATGAAATTTAAATGATGTTTCTGAAAGTGATCTCATCAAGAATTGCAAAAAATGAGTGTTTTCTGAATGAAAAGGGTAACCTCCATTCAAAATGTTTCTCTGTGGTCTGTTATTTTGTTACTAACATCAGATTAAATCTGACATGGAACATATGACTATTTATTTAATGTTAGTGGAATGATTGGCTCCAGTATCCATAAACCAAGTACATGTACTCAAAACAAACTGATATTTCAAAACAAAGATGTATGAGTAACCGTAGCTGTTTGTCTTTGAGAAATTCACTGAGATTCAGACAATGAAGATAAAATCAAAGAAATGGTTCCATAAAAAATGAATATCAGGAACTCAGAGTAAAATATGAAATTGTGGATAAAAAGAGACTAGAGAAAGGATGAAGGATAAAACTAAAGATTGATTGAATGAATATTGCTTAACACCACACACAGCAATATTCCAGCTATATGGTGGTGGTCTGTAAATAATCGAGTCTGGACCAGATGATCCAGTGATCAACAGCATGAGCATCTCTACAGAATTAATATCAACATAATCAAGTAATCATACTTCATGATGCATATCATGTAACAACTTGCTCATTACTCTTGAATGCATTAGTTTTCATCATTACTTCCAGTGAAGAGTTAAAGAACTCAAGACTTTTTTATATGACTAAGTAAATCTGTTATGGCTGGTGGGTATTGCAACACAGCCTTCTAAATGTGGGTGTTCTTTAATTCATTTCCAGTACAATATATGATTGAACAAAATATTGTTGTTATACAAAACACAACAAACCCTTGCTGTCATGCTGGGCAGTGATTATGATGTCTTGTTTGACAACAGATCATTCAGCTGATAAAAGGAAAGCTTTGACGGCAAGAGAAACGAGTCAGAAAGATTGTACTTGTCAAAACAAGTCATGGACAACCAACTGTTCAAACAGTTTTTTAGAAAAGGAAACAATCATACTTCATGTATTCAATCAAAAAAATCAAGTACCTAACACTTACAAAACGGTGAGCAAAATCTGGGTCAACAATTTCCATTGCTCAACCAGTTACCAACACATTTCATGTGACAGTCACCAGATTATCACAACTGAACTTTTGATATTTGTGCAAGGTCAACTTGAATGAAGGTCAAGGTCATTTTCAGTCACTGTCACCTTTCATCAAGGTCATGAGGTCACTGAATCAAGGCTGGTCTTCAGTTAAAAAAAGAGGTTGGGTCAACGTTGATGACTTGATCCTCAGCAAGGGGTGCCCTGGACAAGGAATCAAAGTTCCTCTGTTCATAATAATGGAACTGTACCAATATCTGCAATTTGTTAAGGAAAACAAAAGGGTAGCACAAAAGTCAGAATGTTTGAGCAGTGAGTCAGTGATGAGTTTTATGACACTTACAGCAATATTCTTGGAATATCACGACAGGTGACATTAGAAATTGGCTTCACATATTATACCCATGACAATAAGTGAAACCCAGCTATTCAGCCTTACAAGGAAATGCTTTAACCACTTGGCTACCCCACTGCCCCTCAAGTAAGCTTGGTTAGACACTGACTAATTTTTCCAAGTGAGTGAGTGAGTGAGCAATATCACAGTTGGGGACACCAGAAATGGGCTTCATACATTGTGCCCATGTGCGGTATCACACCCCGGGTCTACAGTGTGATGAGCAGATGCTTTAGGCTACCCCATTGCCCCTTCTGAAGCAAAAAGATTAGTAATGGTCATTAATTTGGGCATCATAGTAACCAATGACATCCCAAGTCTATAACTCTTGTGAAAGTGAGTATCAAGTGATATTAGAATTTCTACCAGATAACATCACAGCTATTTTCTTGATAAGGTCAAGGATACAGTTACATCAAGGAAGATAACTCCCAGACTTCCAACAATCCATGGCAAGTGTCGAATCAGGAATACACCATCCAAAGAGTGCACAATGATGGCTAGACCATAAGCCAGATTACCAAATACAGCCAGCACGAACATCACCTTTGACAAGCCTTCTGTGGACTTCAACTTGTACTGAAAAGCAAAAATTCACGGAGATGGTTTTTAACATGTAACATATGTTGTATTTGGGATTACATATTCTAAGTAAAGTACAGATTCTAGTACTTTTGTTGAGTTGAATCCCATTTACAATCCGAACCCACGCCCTCAGAATCAGGCACCTAATCTCCAGGACACAAAGTCAAACGCCTAACTCGCTCAGCCACCGCCACTTCCACAAAAACTGAAGTCAGACAACTGGTAGTCTAGACCCCGGACTTTGTGTACCCCTCTGATAAGTGTAAATTGGCACAGCTCCCATGGCTGAAAGCTATGAATACACAATGCCATTTAAAAAGTGGTCAAATGTAACATATGCTGTATGTGGGATTACACTTACAAAGAAAATGTAGTCCCAAATACAATATGTGTTACATTTGACCACTTTCTAAATGGCTCACTGTGTTCATGGTTTTTAACTTCTTTACACAGCATTTTAGATATTTCAGTGTGCCAGCTTCACTCAGATTAAAACATCAGTTAAGCACACCCAAAATGTTTTTCATAACTTCAGGCAATTCTCTTCTTCTTCTAAGACCATGTGTGGAAACGTGCTGTAGGTTAAGTTGAATCAAATCTTACTGGCCTCTGACCTTCCCTGGCCTCTGACCCGCCCTGACCTCAGCACCTGTCAATCATCTCCATAAGCGTGCACCTCGCTCAAATGATCATGTGACTAACTGTGCCAGTCATTTTCGTCTTGGAGCTTCCAGTAATCTGTGATGTGGGGCAGGTCGGGTGGGTATCCATCGCGTGAGATAGGATAAGTATATAAATATACAATTTATTATAAAATTTACAAATTTTAAAACTTATCCTATCTCACGGTATGCACAATCCCACGGTTGGTAGGAGGGCCGCAGATTACCCCGTCAATACGTACAACCGGGAAGACGCATAACCCCAAGGAGGCCAGGAGAAAGCACCAACTCCCGATATGCAGACTCCAAACTTGAGATGGATTTGTAACCCCTTGGCTTACACAGCACAGCACCAGGATCTGGTTCACGAACCAACTTCTGGCCTGCCAATAGGGTGCGGCCAAAAGCAGAGTCATCCTCTGAGTTGCGCGCAGTTTCATTAATATGCAAGGAAGAAGGGTCACTGGCTCAAACGCTTAAACGTTCAGGTCCTCCCACGGAATGGCTAGATCATCGAGGTCCCAAGCCAGAGGGTCCGGAATCCGTGACACAAACCGAGGCAGCTGATGGTTGAAACGGGTGGTGAAGAGATCTACTGTCGGAGTCGTCAACAGAAGGCAAAAGGTCTGGAACAACCGAGGATGCAGTTTCCATTCCGTTGGAGAGGGACGACTCGGCCAGGACAGAGAATCTGCGATGACATTCTTCACCCCCGGAATGTGGTTCGCTCGGACTAAGATGTTGAGAGAGTCCACCATTTTGAAGAACTATTGGATCCACTGCAGCAGTTGAGTAGACCCCGTGGACCCCATCCTGTTGATATGCCCTAACAAACTCCGTCGCAAACATTCAATTCTTCCATCCACCACAGGAGATGGGGATGGAGCTCCAGAGGTAGAGTGATCAAGGCAACGGGATCTCCCACTCTGATGTAAAGTGCTAGAAAGAACTGCAAGGGACAAAGTTGTAGATGACCCCTGAGGGTCAACGCCCGAGCCAACGTCAATAGGCCCAGGAGCTCCTGCCACTGACAAAGCGTCCTGGGGTGCACCAGTGCCAGAGAGACCAATCGCTGTATCTTGCAGAAACGATCCCTCGGGACAAAGAGTTTGTTGACCTCTGTGTCGAACACTGCTCCAATGAATTGAAGACGGCACGTAGTGACTAGTTCCGAATCCTGCAGATTGATTAACCAGCCCAATTGGCAAAGAAGCTGTATCGCAAACTGCATGTGACAAAGCAGAAGGGCATGATCGGTCTGCACCTGAATGCAGTCGTCGATGTAAGCCTTGAACACTATTCCCTTGCAGTGAAGGAAACAGGTGATAGGCTTCGTTACCCGTGTAAACAGCCACAGGGCCGAAGAAAATCCAAACGGGAGAACACGCCACTGATAGTGGGTGACCTCGAAGACAAACTGAAGGAACTTGCAAAGAGCCGGCAAAATCGGGATATGAAGGTACTCATCCTGGAGATCGAGACTGACCATGTAGTCTCCCGGCTTGATGATTGTTGAGAAGAGCCACCGACACCATACGAAAGTGAGGCGGAGGTTAGAGAAACATTTTATGGAAAACCTTCATATTGAAAATTAGTCTCAACTGGTCCGAATCTTTCTTTGGCACCAGAAAGATTGGCAAATAGAACCCCGGGTGGGTCGGAGCCAGGCCCAGGGCTCGATCGAAAGTTTCTGAAGGAGAGTGTCGATTGTGGAGAGTAGAACAGCCGCCTGAGATAGGATACGTTCGAGTAGCCAAGCAACCATGACAACACAGTGATTGTAGGAACGTATGGTTCACCAAATGAAGTGTTGGTCGGCCAGATGGAGTGAGAAAGTTAGTAGATACGATGCATGGGATCGTCAGTCTACCGGAACATTCGTAAAGTTGATGGAATGGCAGAGGTAAAACAGACCAATGACTCCAGACACGTTCGATAAAGAGGCGAAGGTAGTAACATCAATGCCTACGGACAGATCGGACATAGCTGCAGTGACCTCTGAACTGAGGCCTTCAGCTAAAAAAGACGAGTAAATCCAGCCAAAGTGAAAGCATCTTGGCGATACTGTCTGGCACCCTCGGTAAACTGTATCTCCCGGCTGACTGACAAACTCGACATAATCACTCCTACCTACCGTATATGACCGACTATAAGTCGGAAATTTGATACCAGAAAATGTAGGTAAAAAATCAGACCCAACTTATACTTGAGTTCATTAATCTACCCAAAAAATTTCAGAGGTCAGGTGTGCCAGAATCTGCCAGCCCTGCGAACTCAACTGGCAATGTTTACACCGGAAGCAGGAAGCATATACGTACTGACAACGTTTCCAAAGGTAAATGACATCATGGGACAAATAAAAAGTAATATATTTCACAGTATAAACAATAAATTAAATTTAATCAGATATTTTGATCACAGCTATGTACTTACCGGTACTTTGTTATTGAGCGATAAAGTTCGGCCACGTGACACGACTTGACACGACTTGTTTCACGTAAAGTAAACTAATTTGTAAGGTTTCTGTTGATTGGCCGTTCATATTATCATTAGCCAATCAGGAATCTGCTCTCAAAATAAACAAGTTTAAGGTATCTTGAACTGCCCGTTCGCCGGCATTATACACAATAAACACTTTGGAGATATTACCTAATTCTTGAATGCAGTGAAATTGATTACTTAAAATGGTGTGATTTCTAAGAACAAGTCAATCATAGCAATATACACGAGGTACACACACCTGCAAGCTCATCAGTTTGTTTTTTACGCCCCTTCAAAAGATCTAACTACGGATACATTTACGTAATCGGTAATGGTATTCGCGTTGTTGTGGTTTTTAACATTTAGTTAATGTTTATCTCAACACGCAACAGTAATGATACTGTATATATCCGTCTCAGCAGATACGGATTAGGGATGTATAAGCTAGTTTAATCATTTCCGCTGGAATAACTTGAAAGTATAAAACATACTTTTACATTCAAAATCATCATTCGTCATGGATATCAAACGCAAACGACACGCATACGAAGTTGGACTGAAAACCCCGTTCGTCGAGTAAGAAAAGGTAGTAGAAGAGTGGGTGATGTCGCAGAGGCAGAGCGGGTTTGTCGTCACTCGTATGATGATACGTCATCATACACTCCAGACGTACCGGAAGAAGAGGAAAGAGCTGAACCTTCCTGAGAATTTCAAGGCGTCCTCTACATGGTGTACTGGATTCTTAAGAACCTTGCTCTCAGACAAAAGACATACATGGCACAGAAACTACCACAGGAGGTGGACACGAAGGCGGACCTTTTCCATGCGTTCGTTTTGAAAGAGAGGAAGGCCATTGACTACGAGCTGTTACAAATAGGCAACATGGACGAGATTCCCCTCACATTCGACATGCCAGGGAACAGGACCATTCACACCAAGGGGTCAACAACCATCACCGTGAAGACGACCGGAGCAGAGAAAGCCCACTTCACCGTCTTACTGTCGTGTACCGCCGATGGAAAGAAGTTGACGCCGATGGTGATTTTCAAGAGGAAGACAATGCCTAAAGAGAAGTTTCCTCCGGGTGTCATCATCGCTGTACATCCCAAGGGGTGGATGGACGAGACACTGGTGCTGCACTGGCTGTCGGACGTGTGGATGGTTAGACCGGGAGGTGCCAGAGGTTGTCAGTCTGTCCTTGTATGGGACATGTTTTGAGCACATCTGTGTGAGGGCGTGAAAAAGAGACTAAAGGAAAACAGGACAAGACAAGTAGTCATCCCCGGTGGGTGCACGTCACTCCTCCAGCCCCTGGACGTCTCCCTAAACAAGCCATTCAAACAGAGAGTGCGACAACAGTGGTCCGAGTGGATGGTGAATGGTGAACATATGTTCACTAAGAACAACGCCATGAGACGTGCGCCCCTCCGTACAGTCGCTACGTGGGTGCGTGACTCGTGGGATGCTATTCCGGGGGATATGGTCAGATGAAGCTTCCTAAAGTGCGGTATATCCAACGCCATGGACGGCGGTCAAGACGATGAACTCTTCTCAGACTTCATCGGATCAACCTCCCATGATGACATTGAAAGTGAAGAACACAGCGACGACACACACCTTGACGACTATTACGACGACAACATAGATGAGCTGGCCTGGCAAGCACTCGCAGGGGAGGAGTCGGACACTGAGTTCGATGGATTCACAGAAGCTGACATGTGAAAAAAAATCCATAAAACCACTATGAACATTAGCTGCTGAAATAATATTTGAGATATCCCTACCCTCAACATAATACATGTATGCGATATTTTATATATCCCTCCACTCAATGGTGATATGTGTATGCAATTGTTATTTTATATTTGTTTCTTCAATGTTTTTTTATCACGAAGAGTGAACTGTCTGATATAAAAAAGCAACGCCGTCTCTTTCTTTTCATAAGGAATTATGAAACTGTTCATTTCACACAAACACAACCTTTCTTGGAAGCGATCGCTTAACCGGTTATGTTAGGCTTCTGTTGATTGGCCTTTCATTTTATCATTAGCCAATCAGAAATCTGCTCTCAAAATAAACAAGTTTAAGGTATCTTGAACTGCCCGTTCACCAAGCTGGCAAAAGAACACGCTGTTACAAAAGATAACAAACACAGTAAGCCAACAATTTACATTGGATGTTTTATTATGCCATATTCAAAGTGTTCCACTAGTATGACACAGTAAATATCAAAACAAAACAAACACGTGTTAACGTTCGTTATGTTACAGTGTTGAACAGTCACGACATTGATATACCTAATACCGATATGTACGGGGAAAGGGGCCGACTTATACTTGAGTTACATGGTTTTGGCAAGAAGTTAGAGGGTTGAGAAAGGGACCCGACTTATAGTTATATCCAACTTATAGTCGGTCATATACGGTACTCCTATCCGCTTCGTGGGACCAAGACAAGTCTGTCAGGGCACTTCCTAACTGATGTATCATCAAAAGTCTCCGGTAAACAAACAGTAGTCCGCCATTGCAAATGCTACCGACAATGCAATAACGACAAAAACCCGGACAACACGGATGTCAATCAACCAGGCGAGTCCCAACCAATAAAATCTGGGTAAAGTGAAGCTAGCTACTTGACCAAACATCACTGCTGGTACCACACGCAGAAACAGTGAAAAAATAGACCAGCTTGATATGCAGGAATATTGTACGACGCTTCACTGAGTCTTGTTACTATATACAGACTACTCGTAGCAGCTGTGTGGTGTATCACTGCGTGTAATCGTGGTCGAAGGGTAGATAGATTGGGTGAATCGAATCATTCATGAAAGGTGAAGATCGGATGGTAGATGACGTAGGAATCTTAAAAATCCGAGATCATCAATCACCGCCGTAATGTAGAGGCTTGCGCTACTGACATAACTACTACCTCTGTGCAACCAACCAAAACGATGCATCATGGGACCCTCTATTATTGCAGTAGTTAATCCTGTCGCCATCGGGATTATGAACGGCTACTGACATTTAGCATTTAATATATATTTTCAGTTGACTGATGTTGAATCTTCATTTCTGTCACAAATAACGTGACACATGGTCGTTTGACCCGGAAATTGAAGCAACTCTCAATTAATGCGGTGTTGCTATTTTCTCACTATGACACGCGGTACAAACAGATGACACTGTGAAATGTTTACTAAGACAAGTAACGAATCTAAATAGTTTGATCATTAAAAAATATTTAGGAATTTCATTCACATTAGTAATATCATCATGTTTTTAACCCAAACATCTGAAACTTCTCTTCATTTGGATACAAGGTAACAATAACGTTACAAAATATTGTTTTTCCGGCTTAAAACGTACCATACAAGTTGCTGCCGTGTGCAGAAAGAAGTTGCATAATACGTCACTTCCTGTTATATTTTTTAGCACGGAAAGTATGCAAATGACCTTATAGTTGTCGCAGGATTGCTCTCGATGAAGTAAGTTTTGATTCATGCTAGATGTAATGGCAGTAAGGGTCATACTAGTTTCAAAATGTTCTAGAACTTACTGAAAAGATGAATGCTTTAATATTTCTACGACTAGACAAGACATTCCAATGAAATAAATGACTTTTTCAAGAGCGATGAATATATTTTACGTAATTTGCATATGTAAACAGCCGATGCGGGCCGTGGTGTTTCTGCTTTCCCGATGTTTTTGCGTGATGCGATAACAGAGAGTCCCAGTACACTAACTGGATGACAGTGTTGATACAGAAGAGAGCGGTGCTTGGAGTGAAGCGACGCTCTGGATGGAAGCGTTGATACATAAGAAAGTGTCGCACTGGATGGAAGCGTTGATACATAAGAGAGCGGCGTACTGGTGTGAACGCTCTGTCTGTTCACAAACTTCGTAGAAGCGGGAAGCGTAACACCGAAGCCAAGTTGAGCACCAGTAAAAACTGTGGAAATGAGGTATCAACGCCGAAGATGGAAAAAGTGTTGAAGTAGAACTGCAGTAGACAAAGCCACTGTAGGTACCGTAGTGTGCGAACTAGTAAACAAACCATGATGACAGTATGCGCGTAAAGGGAACCAGATGATTCGGCAAAAGCTGACAGTCCAGCGAACACTGTCGGATCGGCGAATACTGTTGGAGTGGCGATCTGGTATGGTGCAGCGATCAGGACCGATTAGGTGATCTGGTTCGGTACTGTGATCCAGTTGGGTCAAGTGATCTGCTTCTAAAGCGCTGAGTCAATCAGGACCGGTGCATTCGTCTTAAACGTCGTACCATACAGTAAAGGTGTACTGGACTGAAAGGTGTTCCAATCAAACAACAGTTCACAAAGTTGAATCGTTGTTCTTATCGAAAACAGAACACTGGTCTGAAGCGTTGATCCAATCGAAAAGGCACACTGGGCTGAAGTGATGATCTAATCAAATGCGCCTTCAAGGTACGGGAAAGGTGTTGAAAGCGCCGCACTGGATGCTACCGTCATGGCTTATGTCACCACAGAAAGACATGAGAGCGCCGAACTGGAACAAAGCTTCGCATTGGAAGCATGTGGAGCATAGGTTAAAGCGCCGAACTGATCCCTGTGGTTGAAAGCGCCGAACTGACTGCACTTGCCACATGAGAGTGAATACTTTCACCAATCGAACCCACCATAGCAGAGGGGGGTGGAGCACTCAACCAAAGCGGCGCACTGGAAACAACCACCTGCCAAGGTAAAAGGCCAAGACTGCTACAGAGGTTGTTAGCACTATGTACCACTCTCGGAGCAGATAAAACTTGTATGGAGACGGGACTAGACGTTTGATGACGAAAGAGACGACAGAGATACTCGCTCAAGTAGGAGTCTTGAGGCCACCTCTAAAAAATCTACGTCTAGATGCAACCCGTCGATATTCAGAAAAACATCATCATTGAGCGTAATTGAGATAGGATAAGTTTAAAAATTTGAACAAATAATCTGCTGTCAAAGGAACTTATTCTTGATCCTACAAAAATCCCTGGTAACAAAAGATGGATTCCACAAACTTCATACTCACATTCCTGACTATCTGAGCAACTCTTGATCCGACATAAAACAGTGAAGATACCACACCAATGGCATACCCAGTCTCGTCTACTGTGTTCTGTAAGGGAAATGAACAGTTTCCATGGAAACAAAAAAATATCAACGATGTCTGAAATCCAATTCTGTAAAATGCTATAACAGAATTTTTACTTTTAAAAGTGTGAGTGAGTGAGTGAGCTAAAATTTTAAGTCACATCAGCAATATTTCTGCCATATTGTGACGATAACAGTGAGCGAATTAGCCAAGATTTTATCAATATACAGTTATTTCACCTTCAGATTTGTTTTTGGAAGCAAATTAACATTAACAGGTGGAGGTAATTTCAAGCCCTTGTATTATTTCATATGAACATCATTATTCACACTTATACACTTGGCATTCCTATCTATACTTACTAGCATTGAACTTCTGATGAACACCTTCAAGAACACCTTTTGGTTTTAAAATGATATTGCTAAAGGCATACATGAATTTTAATGCTTATTTCAATATCTTTCAGTCAACATCACAATATGTATCTTCTCTTCGGAAGAGTGGTTAAGATTGTAGAGCCCATTTAGTACCTGATCCTAACACAACCAACATTGGTTGCTGGGGACCAATTCTATCCCAGAATAAATATTAGCACCTAAGTGGTAAAACGTAGACCCATCACTTACATAAAACACCTTCATGCCAACATTTGTTGCGAGGAGATTTCGGCCTGATGCATGATGGTTAACCACAAAGTTGGAGATGTAATTGCCTGTGGTTACGGAGTGAGGTAGGATGTTTTTGAAGAAGGCGAGGGAGCTGAACATGAACAGCCCTGATATACACAACACTGGCTGGACGAGTCTGTCGCCATCTTGTTTACCTGCATGTCACAGTTGGGATTAACATCATTCAAGATGCATGGGAGATGATAATATTGAACATGGATACATCGGATATACTCATATATTTATAATTCATTCATTATTGATGCAAAGCTGTAATTTGCATTTTAACTCACTTTTAACTTTAAAACTAACTCAAAATTTCCAACAGCATCCTTAAATATAGAAATATTAATATATTGTAATGAAAACTGGCATTATATGAGCAAGAAAGTAGCAACACCAACAATGAGTAAGTCAACATGTTGTCAGTCACCATTACTTAGGTCTCTGACAGTCACCATTATTTATTGCAGAGATGCCAACCCTGAATCTAATGAAAGTGGAGTCATGCCTGGATGAAAGCCAGGCCTGAGCACTTAGCTCTGCCGTTTTGTTTCACTTACATATGGGCATGCATTCAGAAAAACTTCGAGAACCTTCGTCATCAATAACAAGCAAACTACACAATTGAGAGCCAAAAAATCACACTCTAAGCTTCCGACTCAAATAAATCACCTGTGACTTATGAAATTGTATACCGTAAATAACATTGTAGAATTATGACTCAAAAATCAGATTTTTTAAAAGACAAATTGTAGAGAAGATTTTGTATTTGAAAATCAGGGTAACTCCGCCAAAATCGGAGTGGTTGGCATCTCTGTTACTGACAGATGTGGTCTAATCTCAGGCAAGTGAGTTTGTTCAAAATTGCCCCTTACCGGTAAGTTTCCGCTTGCGGCAAAGATATGCAACATACTGCACAAGTAAGACAACATCTGCTGCAACGTAGTACACAGCAACATACACCTGCAAAGATAAACAACATATAAAAACATCTATATCAATGTTGGTGGGTATGGTGTTATCTTGCGTTGCAGTCAGAAATATTCCAAATGAGTCACAGCGACATAAGTACTACTGGGGCAGTATGTTCCTCGATATCTCATGAAAAACAGTCTGTACTTCCTATTTCCAGTCAACTTATAAAATTTGGCTTTTCATAACTTGTGGAAGTCAAATGTTGCACATCTTGCCCTTTGAAATATGAACATTTGTGCAATTTAATACTAACACTCGTTGATCTGAGCATTTGCAGGGTTCCACCTTGAGGGAACCAACTGATTGGTTTTCGATGAAAACAGCAACTACACTGCAAAGACGTTTATTTAAAAACATTTGGTACCAGATCCTTCAAACACTGTTGCTGTGCTATGGAACTTCACCTCAGATGTACCCCTTCCTTGACTACCTTTAAATCTGTCCTAAAGACCCATTTCTTTAGTAATCACTGACAAATGTCCATCTGTATATTTGTGTGCACTTAGAGCATGCCCTGTTCTGCAGGGACTTCAGTGCCATATTATTATCATTGTTGCAAAGCACATAGTACCCTGCAAAAGAAAGTGTTTTCCTGAAGCACGTAGGACCTTGTCCAAAACAACACTGCTAATCACATATGTAGTCATGTGTGTTAGTTTAACATAGGGTACACACGCTGGTGTTGGACACTTACTATGTCCTGAGATTACCATTTTTGTTCCGTAATTTCTCTGATACCAGTGACACGTGGACATTAGGACAATGTTTTATGGCAGCCTGTGATCAAGTCAGGGAAAGGGTGCCACAAACCAATCCAAATGTTACCATTTATCACTAGTCTATGATAAAGCATGGGAGTTGCGATCATCTTTGAGCTAAGATCACTTTGTAAATGGGCCCAGGTCACTTAATGAAACCCTGCAACATAGGTATTGTGCTGGAAAAAACATCAGCATACCAAAGGGGCAGGGCAGTTGCCATTATCGTTGAGCTAAGATCATATTGTGGATGGGGAACCAGGGCCCCCTTTCACAAAGCACTAAGGTGATCGTAAGTCACTAAGGTAACCTTAGTGCAATGTCAAAGAATGGGAGTTACGGTTAACCTTAGTAAAGGTTGCTTCCTGAAAGGAGCCCCTGGCCACTAAATGAAATTGAAACCATTCAACAAGGGTATTGGGCTAGAAAAAACAATCAGAATGCAATAAAAGGGTGTACATAAGTCCTCTTCATCTGTGAATAACAACAAGTGATGTATATTGAGCCTGGTTTCCAAAGTAAGGTGCTCAACAGTGCTGACAAACCATACGTACAAAAATAGATTGGATCGATGCCCCAATGTAGTTACCTGGATCTCCAGCTGATGTGTTAGGATGGAGCCTACCAGGTTCGTGACATCACCTGCAAACCACTGGGCCAGCAGGAAGAAGGACACGCCAGCCATACCGTTCAGGTTCCGACAGTTCTTCACCATCTGACTGTAAGGAAGTACATTAGATCAAGTACATTAGATATCTGGTCCACATGTGTAACTGTCATGTTCCTGGCCAATAACAGGGCTTTCCCCATCTAAGTTTTTGAATGATTAACAGCACTGGTGTCCTCATGACTACCCATGACTCCATTGTCCTCAGAGCTAAACAAGACCTGGTGTCCTCATGGCTACCTATGACCCCATTGTCCTCAGAGCAAAACATGGCCTGGTGTCCTCATGGCTACCCATGGCTCCATTGTCCTCAGAGCTAAACTTGACCTGGTGTCCTCACGGCTACCCATGACTCCATTGTCCTCAGAGCTAAACAAGACTTGGTGTCCTCACTGCTACCCATGACCCCAGCGTCCTTGGAGCTAGGCAAGGCTTGTTGTCCTCACTGCTACCCATGACCCCACTGTCCTCAGAGCTAAACATGACCTGGTGTCCTCAGTTAACCCACATTCTTCCTTCATCCCCTGCGTAACCCAACAAACATTCTACTGTTACCCACACTGCTACACCATACACCTGGTGTCCTCGGTTAACCTACATTCTTCCTTCATCCCCACTTTCACCCCAGACATTCATCCCCATTGTTTGCACACAGATATTCTTCCTTCATTCCCAGTGTAAACCTACAAACATTCTACTGTTTTGTTCAGTGTACCTGCTACTACATAACTCCGGTGTTTGTGGTTAACCCACATCATACCCAAATCCCCACTGTTACTATTGAGATAGTCTGCCCACATTCCCAGTGTTAACAGCCAGACAATCTGTCCAACAGGCATTCTACCAATGGTTCTCGTTGGGTTCACAAACATCTCCTCCACTCATTCCAGTGGCCTCCAACCCTTGAATGTTCACAAGGCTCCTGATACTCTGACAGACATTACTTACGGTACTCCCACAATCATCCACAGCACCATGGATAGGAGTCCCAAGATGGCCGACGCCTGGCCCCTCCAGTCATGCACACAGTCTGCCATGAGGACCCACACCCACTGGACGCCATCGCTGCAGTTGGTGGAGCTGTTGCTGATGTTGCTGCTGCCTTCATAGATGGACGAGTGGATGATCCACCCATACTGAGGCGGCATATTTCAGTCTGAAAAAGTACACAAATAATCATATGACTAGTTTTGTATGAAGAAGCATGCAAAGAAATGTACAAGAAACATTTTGTCAAATATGATGCATATCTTTACCAGTGACTGTGAAAATCATGTCGCATGCTGATAACACATATAATCTAAAACATGGTGCGTCAAAAATACGGAAAGGGGCTTGGGCTACCACGATTCACCCTGATGTCGATTTGATTCAATTTTCGATATTGGACCCTTGATTCGATCATTTATTTGATTTCTCCATACAAGTTAAAACATCAGATTTCATTTAACTCTCAGAGTTGCTCTTTTAGCGTGAAATCCATCATCAAGTCGGCGATGTCTGCTGACAACAATTCTCATTGGATAATTAGCCTGGCAAAACCAATCATGTTTCACCTAATTTCAGCGCTCGAAAATTGCTCCAGTTGGAGTCAAAATTATGTTCTGGCTGTTTGGAAATGATTTAAATAGGTATTCAAATATCCAAATCAAAATAGTGATAATGGTTATTGAAAATCAAAAATAAGGTGTCAGATTCAATTTTCCATGAATCGAACCTAATGGTTGCGGCCCTAAAAGGGGCCAGCATATATAAAAGTTTTCTTTCCAGCACCACAAACTTTGAGAAGACTGACAAATCACAGAATAAGTTCATCATCATGACCACTGAATCAAGGATTTGACACATTACTGTTTACACCAAAAGTAGATCATAAGCTTGGGTGTATTCTGGATCTGGTCTTTGAATGGCATTTAGAAGTGATACACATAAAAGGTAAGAATTTATGGATGTCAACTTTATTATATGTTCATTATGAGGAACACGATGTTTCGGAGTATATTCTTACTCCTTCACATTGATCTGGGATTAAAAAACACAATGAGTGTATAAAAAAAGCCCCTGGTATAAGGGTGAACAGAAATGTTAATGATAACAAATTCTTGTTCATTGCACAAAGTTATGTTTTGGTTAAGATTCTTATACTGTTATCAAGCTAAAACCTAAAGCTTGATAACTAGGGATGCCACGATACATCGATACTTTTTCTAAGACAATACAATTATCGACACATTCAAAACTGTATCGATATTTAGTTTTGAAAGTATTGGTTTAAATATGTATCTGTATCGTTTTGCAATTGTATCATGTTTTTTGATGTTATGAAAGTTATAAATGATTATTTTTCATGCATAATGATGGGAAATTTTGTAATCCCTGAGAATAAAAAATGTTGCTTTTTTCATAAACAATTATTAAATATGAGATAATAATGTTCAAAATGTAACTAAATTTACGCAATAATGCCACGAAAATATGGTATTGTGATATGTATCGATTCGTGACGTGGGTATCGTGATACGTATCGATTCATGAAACTTATGTATCGTGACACCCCTATCGTATGACCCCTAACAGTGTAAAAATCTACACTGAAAAGGCATTAGTTGTTATCCATAAGTTGTAATCTTTGTCACTGACTTTCCAACTTCTACAATGTTCAAACAATGGGTAAACAAGAATATGAAACTAGTGCTGGTATTGGCATACAACCTGCGATACGATATATCACAATACTAAAATATTAATCACGATGATATATTGCCAAAGTATTGTGCTCTGAAGCTGCGATACGATACAATACGATTCCCAATATAAGGGTGGCAATATAATAATTATCACAATACTAAAATCTTTCATTCTAACACCAGCTACAAAACACCTTAAGATCAAAACAAAACCAACTTTAAAGCATTTTGTCAAATTCTGCCAGCGTTGTTCAATGTTCATTCGGAAACGAGATAATTAAGTTAATACACGAACTTTGTGAATGTTGATAACATGTGAGCGCTATGTCTGACACAGTTCTTGAAGCAAGAATTTCCGAGAAAACGTTTACTTATGAAGGGAAAATAAGAAAGCACATGTTTTAATCCTTAAACTAGAGTAAGTCTTTTTTCTTGACAGATATCGTGATTTAGCAAAATTCACAGTTAAACATCGATGTATCATGGCTCATTTGAAGTAAGGTACCGGGATATATACGACAATGTATTGTATCAATGCACATCGATGAATAGTCACATCACTATATGCAACCATACATAACAAAAGTGGTGACACATGAAACAGATCAAATATTTAAAAAGCCAAAACAAGATATATAAAAAAGCAAAACACACACACAAAAATTAAATATGGCCAGAAATGAAACATGGTGACAGGTACATTAAAATCAGCTTCATAAACAAAGCATAGAGCATAATAGGTTTCAAGGGACAGAACAGGATCAAAGTTCAAAACAGTAGTGTTATTCCACATACCACTTGTGTTTTGCATGTTAAATTTAATGACTGACTGACTGAGTTTGGTTTTACCCCGCTTTTAGCAATATTCCAGCAATATCAAGGCGGGGGACACCAGAAATGGGCTTCACTCATTGTACCCATGTGGGGATTCGAACCTGGGTCCTCGGTGTGACGAGCCAAAGCTTTAACCACTAGAATACCCCACCGCCCCGTTAAATTTAATATTGATACATGCAAAACTAGTGTTTTGAAATGATTAAAAACAATAGTTAACAAATCTTATATCATCTTCAAGGTTTTGGGGCTGTAGGGTAGACTAGTAGTTAATGTATGCTACAGCGTTGTGGCATAACACGACCTAGGTTCGATTCCCATCTTGGGTACAATGTGTGAAGCCCATTTCTCACTCACTCACTCTTATGTTATACAATACAAATTCTAATGCCAAAACTTAAAAGGCAGATGACAGCAGCCTGTAAATAATCTGAACAAGTCAATGCAGTGGTTGACATCAAAATTAATGTCCATTGCCCCATCAGGCCTATGGCTACAATGGCATGCAGTCAACCATATCTGACCCAGTCTGACCACATCATACATAGACCTCTTCACACCAGAATAGACTGGTGGTTTCCAACCCGAAATACTCACAGGACATAGGAAAAGTATTAAGTACAACTGCTTATAATAACAGCAGGTGTCTTTAAAAATGGTCATAACTACACAATGTTCATATGAAAAAGTGAACATCTATGTACAACAGTAAGAATGTATGTTTATTGTGAATTTTCAGGAGAATTGGCCACACTGTCCACCAACAAAACAAAAACAAATCTCTACATCTGACACACATGGCAAGCCAGCCATGGTATTTCAAGCACCTGCTCAGCCAAGCAGACCCTCATAAGCTCAAAATCTTACTGTGTTTTATGCTGCTTGAAAGGGTGGGCTTATATATCGAGGGTGGCTTAATCAAACTTATTGAATTTCACTTGTTGCTGAATGGCTGAATAACCTGGAGATATCAGAGTTGTATTTTGAGCTTTAGCAAGCACTGATTTACTGCCATATACAGGTTTTATTTCCAATTAGCTACACTTCTGGAGTAGTAAAGGTTTATTGTTATTTAATGGGTGCTCTTCAGAGGGGAGTAACATATAGTTAGTTTTAAAAGATATATACACATAAGGTATAACCAACAATAAGTTGAAATGAAAAATGTAAGCCTGGTATTGATAATGGATCCCAGTCTTATACCTGAAGCACTTATTAAGAATGTCAAGCTAGAAATTGAGAAAATGATACTGACATTTATTGTTATGATATTGTACATCCTGTTTCCAACATGATCATAAAATGGTATCATATCTCAGCAAAACAGAAACCCTTTTCTCTTCTCAATAAACCAGAGATAGAAAGGGTTGCCATAGATAATTTAAATGTGCCTTGGTGAAAATAATTGTGCCTATAAAATGTAATTTTTATGATAAAATTAATATTTTATACTTATCCTGACTCATGCTTATTTGCTTTCTCATCCTCTCTTCTGAACGGTCAAGTGGAAACTTGAATCCCTTCAATTCCCTTGAAGCAAACGTACAATCACTCACCCTGAATTACTTCCCTTTTCCCGCCAAAACTGGCACGTGACCTGCCATGCCTTGCTCCTCACTCTCTCCGATATAAGCCCCACGCAGGTTTACAGGGCAACCCGTGTGGTGATTGGGGACGGTTGGGAGGGCTTCATTCATGAGTCAGGATAAGTATAAAATATTAATTTTATCATAAAAATTACATATTTTTCCTTATCCTGACTCATGCTTATTTGCTTACTGAATCCGGCGGAATCGGTGGTGGGTCAACCACCTAACGGGATTCCCTGTATGATTGTATTCACGTCAGCGTTCGCTTGATATATATACCCCCTCGGAATTTCTTCTTCTGCGGCTAACTTCAATATTTCTTGATGCTTGTCGGGGGACCACCTTCTTATACATTTGTATAAGAAATAATGGATTTAGTATACTAGACGCCTGGTTGTAGATATCTGCAACGACCCAAAATGTTACGGTAAGAACTTTACCGGAACTGGAATCGCGACCCATCTGTTAAGGCAAGAACATTACCATAACTGAGTCTATGTATCACTCATGCGCTGTCTTATCTCGTAAGTCAGGGGAACATGGACTCTCAGCCGGTGGCAATGGAGTTGCCTGGCGTCAACGAATCTGCGTGACAAGAGTGAGTTTCTTCAACGTCTGGCCGGTACAGTGAGTTGTTGCACCACGACGAGAGGGCCGAACTGGTGTATCCCTGATATGTCTTCTGTGGAGATGTCTCTCAGGTAGTGATTAGCGAAGACAGTGTCTGACTTCCAAAAGCAGCCTTCCATTATAGATGATATAGAGCAGTTTCCATGTAGGGCGAGTGTCGAGGCCAAAGCTCTAACTTCATGTGGGCTTGATGCTCTTGGAGGCTCTAACCCTGCTGCTTTATAGGCTCTTAGGATCACTGCTCTGATCCAGAAGGAGATCATTGTACGTGATACTTCTACAGTCGTGGCGGCTGATAGCGGGATGAATAGACGCTTGCACTTCCTTCTTCTCGTAGCAGATTTCTGCAAGTAGATTCTCAGCGCTCTGACCGGGCATAAAGATAAATCTTGAGAGTCTTCTGGACCCAGGATTGTTGATAATGCCGGAACCTAGAACTGACGATCCGGTTGGCCCGGTAGCTGGTTCTTTGCTATAAAGTCCCATCTAAGGCCTAGATGGACTGCTTCCCTTTTTCCCGTGTGGAATCTCGTACGGCTGAAGTCAACGGCGTGTATTTCTGACATCCGAGCAGCAGTAGCCAAGGCAAGGAGGAATATCGTGGTTTGACGTATGTTATCTTCCCAGAAACTATGTTATACAAAACAAGATTTCCTGTCATGTGCGCAGGCATTCAACATGGCTACACCCTTGCTAAGCTGGAGGATCCAGAGTGCCACTAATAAAGTTTCATGGGCCACCAATAAATAGTTTCATGGGGTGCAAAAATAGGTTTTGAATCATTTGAGTTTGGCAAATTAATTGCATTTTCCATCAAATCATGGCATATAATTTGAATAACTTTGTGCACACCAACAGGGCAATGTGAAAACATTTCATCTGTGACATTTCAGTATTAACAGTGCCATGGCGGCAGTCTGTAAATAATGGAATTTGGACCAGACAATCCAGTGATCAACAGCATGAGCATCGATCTACACAATTGGGATACTACGATGATATGTGTCAACCAACACCAGGTATGTTTCTGTATACAGATATGTACCCTAAACAAAGTCAAATACAGAAACGTACCCGGTACCCTAAAAGGCGGACGAGTCCATATTCCGCAATCCAAAACCAAAACCGTATGTAGTTGTTCCTGTTCAACTGATTCCGAGTGGTATTCATGTGCATCGCGAAATATCCGTTACTGTGTATTCTCATTATTTACATAACGCAATCAAATGTATCTAATACAACAGTATGACAGCTCCGGTCTAGAATACGACACAATGGGAATGGAATCATCCTAGGGTACGTTTCTGTATTCTGATTATGGCCAAGGTACATTTCTGTATAGGGAAGACCACAGTGACGTCAGTGTTTTGATCATGTGACGCGCCCGAGTACTTCCGGTAGGCAGAAGGTAAACATAAACATGAGAGAACCACACAAGCTGCACTCATTTGATCGTCGACTTTACATACGTAACAACTCTTCCCGGTCTGTTTTTTTGGCTTGACACTCAGTGCATCTTCAATCACCAGAATTGTCCTTGTGACGATAGACACATAACAATATTATGTTATTGTTATGACATACTGACATTTTATAATATCTCCCGTGTTAGAACATTATTCGAAAATCATCGCCCGCGAGAACCATTACAGCTTCGAATTTGTAAAAATGAAGATCTACGCACCGGCGGCAATATTGAGGGTACAAAATGTACCACACATGCAAGCGAAAAATGCCAACTTCTGTTGAAAACAGCAAAAATAACGAATTGAAGGTGATTGAAAACTTAATTCTATTATATATTTGGATTTTACGGGAATTTGAATCAACTTAGAAAATGTATCAATGGTCGTTTTCCAACTCGTGCCTATTTTACCTCCATGAGTGCCATGCCCTACATGCTTTCCTGCGAGTTTGGGCACGCCCTTACGCATCACCCACGGCTGTCAACAATGTCAGTGTGGGAAGGTTTATCCAACAAAATCATTATAAACTCAAGAATATGATAATTTTGTTACAAAGACAATACCATTTACCTAATCAGACCATGTAATTAAATCCAACGAAAACAGTTGGATCTATCAAAAGGATGGCACATTTCTTTCGGTATCACGATGCATGTGGAGTTGTTTGTTTACCACCGTTGCCATGATCGTTCCTTTTCGTCCAATTGGTGATGTAACATTGAGATTGTTTTTGTTTATAAATAATTAAACCGAAAGTTACTAATTTTTAGGAAATGGGAAACTTCAATGTTTTCTCTTGACCAAAGAACAAAAATACTGATCAAATTATTAAAAAAAATTATTTCATTATGAAGAAAATATTAGACAGGGTACCACTCGACGTGATGTGCCGTTATTTGCGGGTATGTACCGAGAATTTTGGTGAACAAATCTTTAGTTCGCAGACGTTTCGTTTTAAGGTACATAAACTAATTGAAGATTATATATTTAGAAACCTGAGAATTAATTCATTCCATACATAATTCAAATGACAAGTAAATCCGACTTATTGAATAATTATTGCAAGTTTTATTTGGGGATGTCATTATGCTGCACTCCTGTCGAATGGGTTCGACAGTAGCATTGAGAGGATTATTTCCTTTTTACGCTACACCGGTTCTCATTGTTATCGCCAGCCATTGTTGCTTTCTGGCAACACGAGTGAGCGTAGTTCGTGAGGTCACTTCCGTAAACAAATGGACTTTCCTATACAGAAACGTACCTGGGGTACATATCTGTAGTACCCGTGCCGACAACGACCCCTTCAGCATTACTATATTATATTATTGGCAGCTTCTGTCAATTTATTAAAACTAAGAGGGTTATTTGCGGGTTTAGGGACCTAATCCAATATGGTAGGAAAATGTACCAATCTATCAACAGTCATAAGTGAAATATGTTATGGTATGGGAGTTACAATCACCGTAGCACTACGACCATTTCGTGGAACAGGGCCCAGATAATTAGAATTAAATCCACAGTTTGATGAAGTATTTTGAAACAACACACAATATATGCAATACATAGCAAATTACAGTGAATATGTCTGGGATTGGCACATCCATTACAACCAACGGCTCATCAAGAAGTAAAAACCTCGTTTGCTCATCTGGTACCATCACCTCAAACCTTATCATGAAATACATCTATTATCAAAATGAATGAGGTCACTGAGAGGGTATAACTTATTCTTGACACCATACTGTCCGTTTGTTCCTATAATTAGGACGATAATCTGATCTCGTGAAGAATGTAACAGAGAGCCGTAATGCCTTTGGTGGTTGGATATTTAATCCTGCCATTATGCGGAAACACTCGAAAAGTGTCGGTGATCACGAGTTCATTCATGTAATTGTAAATCACAGAAACAACTGTCAACACTCTAACACAATGTAGATCTACTTTCGAATCTGCGCTTAGAATGGCCTAATTATGTTAAATCAGTTGTCTAATGAGGTGACAATTCGTGAGAAAAAAATATACCTGATGGGGGAGTGAGATAAGCAAACAAAATATGTGTTGTCTCGAAGTCAACTTTCAACCACCGCCATGACGTGAACTTTGACCTCCTTGCTGAACGACACACTGCGCACTTCCGGAAGTTGCGAAGCCATCTCCTCGCAGGTAATGTATTGTAGCCATATTGAGAGGTTTGTTTAGAAATCGAACGCCATCGCTACTTGTATATTGTAAAATTATATTTGGTATCGATATTGATTCAATCTTATAGGATCAATTTACCGAATGGATCATTCTTTTTCTCACCAACAGGAGATAGAGCTTGGAAACAAGCTTCGAAACGGTCCTTACCCAAGGACTCTACTTCCCTTTTCACGTTGAAATGAATGTTCAGAAAGGGAAACCATCCGTATCGCCACCAGTACAGATAGCAACACAGCCCCAACACCTAAGTATTGCGTATCCTTTCTAAACAGAAGTATTTTTTACATCACTTGTGTGTTGGTGGAATAGTTACGAACATATTTCAGTCTCCAAGTGCAAACAGATGCCGGCTTATCAGCATGCATGGCATAGACGGTGATTTAGGCGCACAGCAACGTGTTTCAATACATTTAATCACATGTCGGCAAGTAATGCTTTATGTTATCGCGCACTTTGTTTCTTGACAAATAGATGTACGTCATAATTCATATTCGTTTGTATTGATTACAAACAAACTTGCATTATTTTACCGTCTCGAGACTGTCCCAAATGAGGAAGCTGTCTTCGAGTAGGCGGGGTCAGAGACTGTGAGAATGTGGCCGTCGTCAAAACCAATGTTCTCGTCCAACGCGTTGAACACAATTCGTGTCGAAATAAATGTTATCAATGGATAACAAATGTTTGTTTTAATATACCAGTGACATGGTTATTGAAGTAAATATTATTACATGCTGTAATCATTTAACCTCACTTCAATGAGTTGTGCCTGTTCAAACTTGATAGGTGAAGTATTTGTGGAAAATAGGCCTGGTGAGATAATATGGGTAGAATATATACCTATGTAGGCTATGTATCAATGTGTTTTGAAGTGCATGTGCTGAGTTTGTTTGTTGCTGTCTGTATTGTTGAATATTATGATCATTACTGCTGAGTACAGTTATTTCAAAGTATTGTCATTCCTGTTTACTTCATTACCCTTTTCATTTTTCAAATGAAACTTTAAGCAGATGTTTGAGAACTAGTCCAGGTTTTTCGTCATCTCAAGGCTGCATTAAAAGATAGGTAAATAACCAAGAGACTTAACTCTCTTGGGTTTAGCTTTTGCCTCTGTGTGTTATTGTTTTTTTCTGTGTACTTTGACCATAGCAAAATGCGTTTATTGGAGGTAAAATGTGAATTCGGAAAACTAATTGTATAAGGTTGCCCCAGATGCTGTCATGTCTGTTACTATTACTGGTCTACATCAACATAAAAGGTCACATTGGTGTCATGTAGTTTTGATCTTGGAAATATATGTATTAACTCTGGATGTCTTTCGACCTACATCTGTTGTACAAGTGAAAATAATTTTTAATGGAAAGGCATGTACTTATTCATGGAGAAAATCATAGTTTAAAAAGACATGTTTAAGTTGAGCATTTATTGTTGACAATGTACTCTCCTCAATTGAATTATGATAAATTGTAGCCATTGTAATTACATGTACAGCAATTGTTAGCTATTTCATTCATGAAAGGTTAGTGTGACATTTAAGGGTGGACCAGCAGCTGTGAAAAGGTCAACATCTAACTTGGTTGTCTAATGAATTATGCACTTTATGCTGTACAACTGTTTTCACCAGCTGCTAACATGGAAGGTTCATCTATCCCAAGTCAGTCAAACAGAAATTATATTCACATTGATAGACAGTGTTGGTCGATTGGTGCTCAACAGCTCATTTCTTACGTGCATATTATGTATTAAAAGAACAACCTTTATGTTACACATTTGAAACGCTTTTGAAATTTTCCAGTTGAAAGGTGTCTTATCCAGGGATATAATTTCCTGCTTGCCTAATCATGCTCATGTTGACTTTATCCGGAGTGCTTGTAGTAATTCTGGCCTTTTGCTTAGTCCGTATTTACGTTATTATTTATCAGACTTTTGATACTCCATGTTGGAGTTGTTTCCTGCCTGTTTGTGGGTAATTTCTGTTGTCTTACCTTTCTATGTGTATAGTCAGTACTTGAATCTTTATTCCTGGTAAGCAGTGATCCATAAACAAATGCTTTTTGTACAGGTACAGGTGGTCAGACTTGGTATGGTGTGTGGTCATACACAGACTGTGGGTGGTGTTTCTCATTTGTTTGTATGGTCATGATTCAGTTGACAGGCCAGTGCCATGTAACTTTGCAACATGTAGTTGACAATATTCAGCTCTGTCATTGGACCTCTCGGGTACCTGCATGACCACTAAACTGTGTCTTAAAAATCAACACATTTTAAGTCAATGTGTTATTCTACACATGCATTTTGTGTGTATGCGTGTATCTTGACCACAAGCCTTCCCAATGAACAATGGGACGGTGTGGTAGCCCTGCTTGTCACACTAAAGGTCTAGGTTCAATTCCCCACATGGGTACGATGTGTGAAGCCCAATTCTGTTGTCCCCTGCTGTGATATTGATGGAATATTACTAAAAGCAAGTAAAAACCAACTCACTCACTCACCTCATGAGTGAAGGCAAACTCTCAATACAATCATTGCCTACTCAGACCAAGACAGTTTTCATAAATCTATGATTTTACCTTGGAGTCCATTTGTCACATCTACATAAGAACGTTTTAGTGATCGATCAATAAGGATTAACACTTGTAATCGTCACAGGTTGATTAGCAATATCGGAAATGTCTCCTATTTCATTGATTTAGACTTCCTCTACTTGATGTAAATGTATAACAACTGTGTATTGCCTTGAACTATATAATGTCAGTCACTGGTTTGTACAGTTACAGTTGGAATATTGCAGAGTACAATCTCCTTTGTTGAATATCTTCCTGTGAAGATCTGGGTTGGAACTGATTTTCAGTAACCCATGCTTGTCGTAAGAGGCAACTGGGATTGGGTGGTCAGACTCTCTGACGTGGTTGACACGTCATCATATCCCAATTGTGTAAATCGACTCAATTATTTACAGACCACCACCACAGCTGGAATGTTGCTGGGGTAGTGGGGTAGCCCAGTGGTTAAAGCGTTTGCTCATGAAGCCCAAAACTGTTTTCCTCACATGGGTACACTGTATGAAGCCAATTTCTGGTGTCCCCTTCTGTGATATTTCTGGAATATTGCTAAAACCTGCATAAAACCATGCTCACTGAGGTGTAAAATATTAAATGAATTCAAGTATCATAATTAAATTATGAAATTGTAAGAATTCAAGTATCATAATTAAATTACGAAATTGTAATCATTTTATTATTAAAAATTGTGAATGGTTTAAAAGGCTAAAAATTACTTAACTTGTGTGAATGTCAATGTCACACTAATACTTCAATTTGGATTTAAATACCATTTTGCAATATCATTTCCAGTAAAATTACGTTTTTAACGTTGCAACACTCTCCAGTAATAACAAACTGAGAGATACTGAAATGTTCTTTTGATTTTCTATATTTTCTGTATGTTTTATGAAAAATTAAAATGAACTACATATAACAAGCTAAAATTAGTGGCCCAGTGAAAACTAGTTTACAGTATACTTATTTTGTTGTGTATCACTGCATGAATTTACACAACTTGCCATGTACTTAAAATGTTCAGAATCGTACAAAGGAGATCATTTGTTAGGATTGCAAGAATAAATACCGGTAAATAATTACGCGAATGTGGAGTGGGAAAAGATGTAACCTTTCCTCCACATGTCATGTTTGATACACATCAATGGAGCCAATTATTATTATTGGTATTAAGTATGGACCATGTATTTCATAAATAAGAACATTAATGTTAACTTTGCATTATTGCAGAAGAACTTGGCTTAAAAACGACAAAATGCATACTGAATGTATAAGTATTTGCTTGGCTTCAAAATTGCATTTATCTAATCAGTTTTGGCTTGAACACATGAAACCAGGTGTTTTGTATATACCAATTAAAAAGAGTCCATTTGTGTCGTTTTACATCAGAATTTATAAGCACAAAATTATTGACATTTCATTACTCAGCAGCATTTGGTTGCATTGGGGGATTTTCTGTTTCCTAGTGGTTTCTTTATCTCCGGCACGGATTCTAAACAATTACGTAATCCAACACTGAGCTTAAACAATGTTGTTGACTGGTTAACAATTTGATGATCACACCTTATCAGACAAACACGGGTAGTAAATATAGATGTATTTATTTTGAACTGTGATATCTTAATTACCAAGTAAGTTATTCATGAATGGGTTTACCTCAAGTATGCTTTTGGGAGCAGTTTGTATGCTTATCAATGTGGGAGCCGTCCACATGCTTAATGTTAATCTCTGTACAAGAAGACCATTTTGTATTACTTTGAGTGACTTTCAGTGTAGTGAAGTTTGGAAAGGAATATCCCAAGAATAAGCTTATTTAACTCAATTTGTTTGGGTCTTATATACAGGATTGAATCAGTGTGTATGGGATTGTGTTTGTGTAAACATGCTGATGGTAGGTATGTTAGTTCAAGTAGCTGAAGATTGGTTAAAGCCTTGAAAGTTGTTGTTCATTTGTCTGTTATTAACTCTGCATTCAGGATTTTCCTTGTTTTATGTGAGCCTGTAGGTAAAAATATTTGACCAAGCAAACAAATGACTAACATGATCTATGATTTTCATCACCAGGATAGAGCAATATGCACTGATGGATCAAAGTCAATAAATCCATTGCAAAGTAAGAGACAAATATGGAGCAGGAGACAACATCTAAAATGGCCAACATAGACAATAGTACTTTGCATTCATCCAAACAATATTTTTTCAAGTTTCTACCATGATGAATTGTGCCTCTAATTTGAATATAGACAGTTGGTGTATTTTAGCAATTTTTTATATATTGTGTTCTGTTCTGATGTAGACCCATGAAGATCCAGGGTAGAATAGGTCTTCAGCAACCCATGCTTGTCGTAAGAGGCGACTAATGGGATCGGGTGAGCAGATTGGTGCTCATGCTGTTGATCACTGGATTGTCTGGTCCAGACTCGATTATTTACAGACCACCGCAATACAGCTGGAATATTGCTGAGTGCGGCGTAATACTAAACTCACTCACTCACTCTCTGTTCTAATGTATGTGAACATCAGTTATGCATGAGCATATCACCATAACATAAGTGTAATCCTCAAGGGGAGCTCAGGTTGAATGCCATGCTTTGTGTGTTGCCATCATGCCTGTGCATGAACATATTTCATTTAAATGGCCAACATTCACCACCTTTTATATCTTTGTGCTTTTTGCTGATATCCATTCACCTGCCATGCTACAAATATTTCCAGGTGTCAGTTTGGACAATGATTTCATCATTGACAATCCCCAAGTGACTGACTAGATCATTTAGCATTGGTCAATTTGAATTTTGCCAACAGTTACATGACCAGGTTAATATGTGAAGAAATATGTTGTTCTTATATAGGTCATGTAATTTGACCCCGCCCTAATGCTGCTTGGAATATTATCGATAGCTTCAGATGAAAAATACCTGGTATGACATGTCATGGTATTCTCCCTAAGATTCTGATGCTAATGACACTGGCATTAACAAGGTTACTCATTCAAAGTTAACATTTTGTGCTGAGCAAATGTGGACCATGTTGTTTCCTTAACCAGATGTCAGCTCCGCACCCCCCACAGGACACACCCCTCCACTGCTGAGTAAGTTTACAACACTTCTGTAAATTATGTAAGGGTTAAACACTTCGAATTGAGTAATGCATCCATGCTGCAAGGGTTAATAGCCTGAAGCTGTTGCATGTCAAAAAGGTAGATGAAAAACGGGGCTCGAGTTAAGCGTTTAGAACTTGCACTGGTGCAAAATGCAACCTAATAATTATCACCTTGAACCATGTGTGTGTTATGTTACTAGCTTCAAGCTGTATCTAACTACATGGACAGTGATTGAATGACTTTTGCTGATCATGTCATGAAATGAGGTATAATGATCTTATCAGACCCAGAATGTTTTTTGTTATGTTCTAAATCATCTGTACGAAATTCCAAGCATTGTATATAGGTTTATATTGATCAGAGGGTGCAACTTAGTTATTACCTTAAGTTAGGTGCAAGTAGGTCTTAGTTCATACTATCGAGCCCTGACTAAAGTGGACAGAATAGTGAGATACAAGTCATGAATTGGAATTGATAAAGTAATGGAAAGGCTACTAAGTCAGCTTACACAGTTTGTGTTTTGATTCATCAAGCGATATTTTGTAGTGTTCCTTACGCATGCCTTAATTTACTTCTGTTTGTCCTTTCTAGGAACAGACGAAATTCAGATTTTTCAGCAACCCAGCTACGCACAAGTCCAGGTATTTCTTCCTTATCTTGTACACAAAACAGCTTTAGCAAACACTCAATGTTACTTTCTTAACCAATCCATACTGAGTGTGGAATCAGTTTATTAACATGGCAACTTTCTCAGGACACTTAAAAATAATAATAATAATAAATAATCATTATAGATTTGATGATCATGTTTGTTATGTACCACTGACATTTAATTCTAATCAGAAATACATCCTACAGCATTCTAACATTGAAATGGACTAATGGACATAATGGACTAAACTTTGGAATTTCATAAATGTGGAATTAGACCTGTATGTAATGCATGACTCGTCAGGACAACCCTTTGACCCCTTGAACTATTAACCTTGGACTCAGTGGTTAAAGCTTTCTGTTATCACACTGTAAACCTGGGTTCGATTCCCCACATGGGTACAGTGTGTGCATCACATGTCTGGTGTCTCCCATCATGATATTTCTGGAATAGGACTAAAAGTGGTGTGAAACTGAAGTTAATTTTGGCACGCAAGGAGTTGTCATTGTTGGTTTGGGTTCCTGCCACCTGCCTTTCACTCTGATTGTTTCCACATCAGCTTCTTAACCTAATCATACATCATCATTGTTTTAAGCATTCATGCTATTTCATACCATTAAATTTTGTTATCATGAACATGCATAGCTACCAACTGTTCCACAATGTTTTGTATTTGTTTCAAAAGTAAGAATTCAAAATTGGGGAATCACAACTACATTTTTGTGTATAGCTGTAAAGTGAGGAAGATAATAATTTCTTGCATCATATGATAGTGTCATTATTTTCAACATTGCATCGGTTCATTTTTGGGTGATGCTGGACTAGAAATAGCAACAAAGCTATTAACAGAGATGAGAACTTTCCGCGGATCCGCAGAATTCCAGAAATTTCATAAGGCTAAGGGTCATTTTTGTGAATCGTCCTAATTCGTTGACAATTGTATGAATGTGCTTCAGCAGATTTAAAGTTTTTTAATGGTTGCTGTGTTCATTAAGGCTGTAACGATTCACTCGCATATTCGTTGAATCGAACCGTAGCCCTTCATGAATTCAATTCGTTATTCGTGGTAACCAGAACCCAGTATTAACTATTTACGATTTTTTTTAAGGGAGCACGTGTTACTTGAACCCTTGTGTACTTTTGGAAAGTGAAATATGCAAGAATGGAATATGTACTAGCCTTGCAGTAGCTCAAGTCATGTGAGTTTGCCAAGGCTGCACATGGTACTGTTGATTAACTATTACATACCAAATTTTTAGTGTCAGGAGATCACTGGTTATTGCTGTGACAAATTAACACTGTCAACATGGGCGTCCATATTGTGCATAAATAACTTAACTACAATATTGTATTCGTGAATAATTATTCGTATTCATTACCCAATATTCATGATATGTATCATATTCGCCACATGGTGTATTCGTTGCAGCCCTAGTGTTCATGATATTGTCATTTCTGAGCCAGTTTTAAAGGTCTAAAATGCCTAAATATCAGGAGCTTCGGCTAGTTTTCAGAGTTTTTCTCAAAACTTCATTCTCATCCCTGTATTAACTGTATATTTCAAGTTTTGGAATTAAGACTTACTTCAATACTTACCACCCGTCTAAATGTACTGTGGTTAAGTTGGCAGCTATGCTTATGCATATGTTATGTGATTTGTGTTTTCTGTGCTTCAGAGCTATCAAGTTCCGCAAGCACCTGTCCCCCATGATATGAATAAGCAGCAGCCCGTGGCGGCAGGTCTGATGCCCGCCCCCGGTGTTGCTCCTCAGCAGCAGGGTATATTCCAGCAACAGCAACCGGGGCTAAGGACTACACAGAGTCCTGTAAGTATATATTGTCACTACACAGAGTCCTGTGGGTAGCCTATTGTCACCATTGTGGTCTGGTGGTTCGATTCCCAACATGGGTACAGTGAAGCCTAGTTGTTAAAGCATTGCTAAAAGCTCTTCACTCGCCACCCACTCACATTGTGCCTGGGTGATGCAGTGCTCAGGTTCTGATTCACAGAGGCCCAGATAAGCTGAATAAATTATTCATTGAAAATAATTGTGTACCAATTACGCATTTAAAATGTTAGATACGCACAAAGTTTAAAACACATGCGTACGGAATATATCTATAAAAATCGCTTGCGTAATGAAAAAGACATTGATTGGTATCAGGTTGTATTGTTAGTATATGACATAAGGCAGTACATACCTGCTTAGTAAACTTACTCAATGACATATACTTAGGTGAGTAAAATCACTGAAATACCCATATATTTGAAAGCAGTGGGTAACGGAAAATGAAATACCCACTCAACATTCATAATACCCACTTAAACAAAATAGTGGGTACAGTACCCACATGAGCTACCGTATATTACCGTCTATAAGCCGAATTTTGAGGACCAAAAAAGCAGTCTGTAGAAGGGGGTCGTCTTATCCTTGGGTTACGCTTTCGTCAAACTTTTTTCCAGGGGTAAGAAAACAACATCGTATCACTTCGCGTGAACAAACAACAGAAGACGACTTTGTCAGTAGAGACTTCAAATTTGCAATTAAACATCACTAGACAAGATTGGTTACCTTGTAAGTTGTAAGTTGTTTTGCTGGGCATTGTATTATTTGCAGGGATTAAGATTACCGTGTGTACCTGAGCCAGAAATAGCAATCAGCTGTGCACAAGCATGCACAATAATATAACGGGACGAATTCTGATGCAGTCATCAGTAAAATATAATACAGAATACTATTATTTAACCCAAAGAAATATATCCTAGCATTGTGTAATTTTAATTAGTTTTTGCTCTATAAATTAATTAAGATTTAAGGTCACATGCAACCAAAAAATCAAACATAATTAAACACAATTATCACTTATTCATGACATATAATATACATTGCTGGTTATGAAAAAACATATAATTTTTTTTATCTTAAACACTTTTTTATCCCCCGCAACGTCCGTGCACATTTGTCTTTTCCGGAGCTGAACTCTAAAATTGTTCAATATTTCATCACCAAACTTGGCACATAGATAGATCTGGTGGTGTACTGGTGCCTTTTGGTAGTTTTGGAATTCTGAATAAAATATTTTTGGCGTTGCCATGGCAACAAGTTTGACTTAGACTGAAATTGGTGATAGTGCTCCTTTCTGGAGCAGAATTTTAAAAACCTTTCAATACTCTCCTTCCACTTTTCTATATACACACCTAAATATTTGACATAATCATAACTCGTAGACATAATCATGAAAAGTATTTTGCCATTGCGGGGGATATTGATGACTTTGTCTTCTTGTTAAACTGTGCATAAATAAGACATAGCTTTTGTATTGTGTGATTCACAATGACACAATTTTTGTATTGATAATCAATAACTTCTTCCCATGGTCAGTATTTCCGATTATCAATCTTTTTAGCCAACCCCAGTTAATAAATAAAGAGGCAGTGGAGCAGCCTAATGGTTAAAACATTCGTCCATCATGCCAAAGATATGGGCATTATTTTCCTTCTGCCTAGTCCTTGTATAAATCCAGCTAGGGTCCATGCAGGTAGCCAAAGTCCCTAGAGTGGTGATTTACCTTCAGTTGTTGGCGATCATCAGCCATGTTTTATCTTTTATTGTCCTGATCTGATTTCCTGATACTGTGATATACTGGTTGGTTTTACTGTCCTTCGTCTTGAAATACTGCCGCTGTGACTATAAAATTTAACTCACTCACTAAATGGATATGTGATACACGAGTAGTTTTACTGTTCATCAACAGGCTTTTAATTTCTAATTTTTCTTTATCTATAATGTAATTATCAATTATTCTCGTCACAATATGGCTGAAATATTGCCGATGTGACGATACATATTAACTCACTGAAATGCTAAAGCCCAAAATGAAGCAAGTCTAGATTTCCTCAGGTTCAGGTTCAAAATTCTGTTTGAATGTTACTATAAAAATTATTTGTTCAGAAACTAAGTGTTAGTCTACTGAAAGTGGTGTTAACCCTCACTCTCTTTACAAACTCACACACTCTGAATAATCCTGCTTCATTTGTTGTTGCAGCAATACTTTCCTGGTAGCCAGCCACAGGGGATGCGGCCCCCACGTTACATGGGGCCTCAGCCCCAACCAAATCTCACATACCAGATGTACGGACCGTACATGGGGCAAACCCAGGGCCAGGGTTACCCCGCGGCGAGCGTCATGGTTCAGCAACAAGGGCAGTTAATGGTAAGTAGTCGTTGGAGCCACAACAAACTGGAGTTAATATGACACCCATCACGAAATACAGGATAACAATTATGAATATTTCTATTACCCTATGTTAAATATTAAGGAATGAATCTCAAAAAACATCTTATAATTGTTTTGCTTGAAATATTTCCATGCTTTTTTTGTATAGCCAGTAAGCAATACATCAGTGTTCACAATGCTGGTCATTGAGTTATCTTTTGGTTGACAGTAAGAGAAGTGACCATGGCAAACTGCGAGCCGTCGTAATGTTTTTTGTAAATGTTCCATTCTAGCAAATCTGGGGGTTCTTTAAGATTCAAAACTTGATGGCTGAACAAAAACATTGGCGTAATTTGAAGATCACTTCTTCCAAGATATGTTTGGGAACAAAATGTTTTTCAAGTTTCCAGTGTTTCCCCTGGCATTTTATACAGCTGGACATTGTGTGTGACCGGCTAGCATTTCAAATACCGATCATTTGTGAATTTTCCCCGGTCATTTGATCACGCTTTTCATTGTGCGCGAGACCTTGCACCCTAACAACCATTCAGAAATGTAGAGGGTATCACAATGCGTCAATATCGCTATTTTTAGCCTCGGGGTTTCCTAAACTGCTACTTTTATTTGACAACACACAGATGTCATTGTGAAAACGTAATCTTTTTCAAGGAAAAATAGAATTAACAGAGTATATTAGAAAATTGATTTTAAAATTGCCGGACACGATGACCGACAGCCTTTGAAATCATTAGATAACAGAAACACTGGTTTCTGTACTGGACACATTTGGAGAGAACAACCCAGCTACTAAAATTTACATTTATAAGTTTGTTGGAAGCATTGTTGATATAATTTTGATGAAGTTGTGAAAAGGTTGTGAAATGAGCAAGCTTTCTCCTTCACTTGCTATGTATTGCATTCAGTGTGTCCCCATGAACATTCAGTGATGACAGCTGATGATTCCTTTTCTCAATTTCAGTATCCCCCAAATACTAGAATGCCAACTCCTCAGTATCATCATGCCATTCCAAATTCGCAAACAACCATTCAACAGCAGATGGCTGCAACAGCGCAGTATCAAAACCCCCCCACAGCGCAGTATGGCAGTGCACCTCAGTTCCAAGTATACTACCAGGTTTGTGGATTCACTTCCTGATCATCATTTAAATGTTAGTGGTGCTGACGTCATGCTTGCTTCCACACATTACTGTGTGTTAATGACATGAAAATGTGCTGACTCGGTCCTTTGTTTTGCTTGTATTCACTATGCTGATGTGGACGGTTTGTAATGTTGTGATGTAAGTTAAATGTATGGAACACTTTCTGAAATATTGATGATGGTTAATTTTGAATTTAACTTCAGAAATATTGGTAAATTGGATTCATGTTTTCTAAGTTCCATGAGAAATTACTGAAAGATCAAAATACTCAATAGCTTGACACAGGATATAAAATGTTGCTTGTGTCGGATATCTTTCTCCTTAAGTTGTTTTTAAATGTGGAAGATGGATACAGATGTTATCTGCACAAACATAATATTCTCAAAATGTTCCTATTTCATACTGTTTTGTAAGCAACTCTACACAGAAATTGTAAAGTTGCTTGTGTGTAATATCTTTTCGTTTGTATGTTCCACATTAGCGTGTACAATTTGGATGAATTTTGAATTGATAAGTTATATGTAACCATATTTGTCATGAAAATCTGCTGGTCCTTTAAAACATTTTCACTGGTCACAGGCGAAACCACCAGTACCAGTAGACATCCCCAGACACGAGCGGGTAAGCGAACGTTAATCAGCGTCAAATGGACAACCTCTTGGTAGTCATTGCAGTTAGCATGTCTACATATAGATCATTATAATCAAACGTTTCCAGGTCAATTTAAAGGCGGGGGAAGCCTAGTGGTTGAAGCATTCGCTTGTCAAGCCAAAGGTCTGCTATACCGATTAGATGGTAGAGGCAGTGTTCTGCTGCAAATATTGTGCATTCCCAAATTTGAATTAAACACATTTCAATCTTATTCAGTTTATTTGTCCCAGTCTAAATATTATTTCCAGCATTGCACTGGCTCTCAATTTTAAGATCCAAGATAAATCCTGGCAAGTTGCGAAGCCCATATTGATGGACTTCTGTAGCCTGTATCCAGACTAAGTCACTCACCAAAAAGTGTCAACTGTCTATTTAAGATGTATCTGGCATGGAGACACATAACAATGTACAATTACACAATGTAGCTTTTCATCTTGCTCACTTGCTAGCCCTAATTTACTGATCAAAAGCATGCATCCCTTATTCAAAACCCTTCTCACAAAACAACATCATGCTTCTTCAACTGAGCCATGTTTCACAGTTGTCATCTTCAGGCATTTCAAGTTACTTCAAACAGCATATGAAGTACAATTCATGTTTTAAGTGTAAGGTAAGGTACTTTAAGGTACTCTTTGTTATATTATGATGGGATATTTTGGTATAGATTCTAAAACTTGTCTTTTTTGACAACATTGAAAGAATCTACACTGAAACATCTTGTTGTAGTATAATAAAAAATATTGTCATCCATATATTATCTTACCGTTCTTGTGTACAATCAGGTTAGGGCAAGGCCCCTTTACTTATTGGATTAATTGTGAACCCAAGTTCAGGACATGGGTAAAGGTTTTGATAAGATTTCTTGAATACAGGCTGGGTTCATGTATTGGTCAGGTCCCTGGAAACACAAGTACTTATTTTCTTCCTTGTATTGAATAGGGGTGGGTATTGCAAGAAGTTTTCTTTAACAAAATATACTATAATAAACAAGTTAATGCTTGATTTATAAAGTAAAAACACAACACAATCACAATGCTTGATTAGGCGTTAATAAAAACTTTTAATCATGACAAAATAAAAATGTAAATAATGTTTGGCACAAATGAAACAAGGAAAGGAACATTTTTAAAAAAACAAATATCTGAAGATTTCCTAGTGTTACGAAGTTTTCCGAATGCATGTCAATATACCGGTTTTCGATCAGCATATCGCGATACGTATCGTTTTCATGTCTTAACCAGTAAATACCGGTAAACTAGTTATATTGCACAGCCCTAGTATTGAACAAATCCAGTAAAATTTGATATGCATGTCATTACGACATGTTCACTAGCCTTGTTTATAGAGGAATGGCAGTTAGTGTATGATAAATTTGAGAGAGAACTAATGTGCACTCATATTAATTATAGCATCATGCTTTATGGAACCCTGGATCTCTTCATCTTTGTGGTATTGGCTGCCTCTGCACAGTTGCTGACCTGACAATTTTCTCATAATAATGTATGTTTTGCCATGAAGTATATCGAATGGATTATGAGAAGTGAATGGTACAGTTTTCAAATTCAGCAAATATAATTACTTAACATCAATTTAGAACATTGTCAAAATATATAACAGTCAGTTATTTTGTAAGAGTGAAGGGCATTTGTGGTTATGTTTTGTGTTCCTTTTAAGACAAGTAACTGCTCATGAGTTTGAATCCCTCATTTTCACCAGTTAGGTGGACAATACCAATGTTCATGTTTTTTATTTAACTGGAACTCAGGATTGGAATAAGACCCCTGCAAGCTATGCTGGTTTTGAGAACAGACATTTGATAGGGTGGTCAGATTTAATGGATTAATCTTTGACTTGACTAGGGCTGGGACGATACACTATGCCACGATACGATACATATCGCGATATTTTACCTGCAATACAATACCTATCATGATACATACACCTTGAAAGAGTATTAAGGTTTAAAATGATTTATTTCAAGGTATTTGTGTATAACAATAACACTATTGTTATAAACAAACGAGTAACTCTATCATATATACTTGCATAATTTTCTCAAGATAAGTACTTTAACATGTTTAAGATAATACTGTTTTGACAAACTTAAATGTATCGATGCATCGGTGAATTGTCCCAGCCCTAACTTGACTTGAAGGGCAAGGATGGGTGGATAAGACTCAATTATTTAATGGCTGTCATTTAGCCAAAATACTGAGGAATGCGATATTGAGCATGTAACACACTAATATGTAGAAGACATCTTGCTCTATTCTTCCTTTGATATTTATCAGTGTTAACCCGTTCAGACGTGAATGACAGAAATATGGTTTTGAGTGGCGATTGAGATGTAGAATAACAATACCAAATCCTGTGAGATCTGCATATTTGTCTTAATAGGCATGTACAGATACCACAGGTTAAATGCAATATTTGCCTTGCGATTCTTGGATTGTTAACTCCATACTTGTATTGCTGTTTTCAAGAAGTCTGAATCTACATTACTTCCTTCCTCGTAAGAAGATTGCTGTGTTATGACTCAATGACCAATGACTCCAGCAACCTATGTTGTTAGTTTGATCGAATGGTTGGGCTTGGTGAATTGCTTGATTTTGCCACAGCATTCTCTGCTGGAGCTGCATGAACCTTTGATCACTGTCAGTCATTGGATTGATGACCAGAGTTGTTGATTTAAATACAGACTGACATCCTATGGATGGAGTATAGCGGAGTCCTGCTTGAAACTGCAACAAATTAAGCTAGTAACCCAACTCTTTTGTCCTCAAACGATAATGGTTTTTCACATGAAACAGTATATCTTCATGTATGAATGTGATCAGTGAATCCAATTATAAAAATTACAAAGGTGAACAGTAAAGATTCTTACTAAAACATCTTATATAACGCAAGTATGTAAATATTGAAGTGCTCTCTGCTGCTGTTCAATTGTTGCTTTATGGATACCTTGTGTTTATCAGTGGGGTGTGTTTAAACCACGAAGGATTAATAGTTGTCAACCATTACCTGTTTCACTCTCATCCATTGTGCCTGAACAGATTTGATCGATGTGTGTTAACCGATCACTGGTTTGCCTGTTCCAAGCCCAGTTGGAGGTTGCTGTGATGAGCTGCAATATTGCTGACTACAGCACAGTACCCATTCACTAACTTTATGACTCTCATCAACAGGGGCAGACTGTGCCAATTGCTCAACCTCAGCGACCAACATCTGCATCTGGTATAACCCAGGCAACACTACAAAAGCGGGTACGGAACCCAATTCCCATCATTGACCCCAACTCGGGGCAGCAGGTGCAAACGGAGGCGGAGGCAGCTCCAAAGACGACGCCACCTGGAGGCAGTGCCAGGAGTACACCTGTTGGACAACCAGCCCCAGAGGTAAACCGATCTTATGCTTTTACATTTAAATCATGGAGGTGCAACTCATAGTGACTGTGTGAAGATTCTGACTCTGGATGGGTTAAGGCCAAACACTGCACCTCACATATGACAAAATGCTTAACAAGTATTTGTTAGATTTATTTAGTTTCAACTTAGAGGTATACATGTTAACAATCGATAAAGAGTCTTTTCCAGGTGATGTTGCCACCGGTTGCCATGGAAACGTCCAAAATGGATGCTGCAAGCCTGAAAAAAGATGAAACTTAGTGAAAGTTTTTCTCTAAAACTAATAAAGATATCTATATAATTTCAACTTTACAACATACCTTGGGGTGTGTAGGGTGCAATGACAGATATTTTATTAAAAGGACTTATCTTATTTAAAATTTTGTTATAAAAAAATCACTTTTGGGGGTTGATTTTCACTCATATTTTATTTTTTATGAAGAGAACAGGGAACAAATTTGAAAAAGTCTCTGTTATTGCATAAAGTAATCAATTGGCTATATGTACACAAAATTTCATTGAAATCGGGCCAGTAACAAATGAGAACTATGTTCACTAAGATCGAAAATGACGTATATGGAGAAAATAAGGAAATAAATTTGGTCATTTTTTTTCCTACTTGAGCACGAGATAAACACATTCAAAGTCTCAGTTTACTGAAGGGATGTATTCCAAATACATGAAACAATTCATATACAAAGAAAAAAGACATAAAACTCCCCTACACCATACAACAACCACTCAGTTGCTTCAACACAAACTCTATCCCTTCGCATCCATTACAATTTTGAAAGTTCTATGCGTGAATCTCCATTCAATAAAAACTATTTCTTACCTTCATTGGCTCCATTGGGAATGTTTTCCTCAAAGGCGTGGTCCCCAGATGTTTCCGATGCATCGAAAATGAAGAAGCTGTCAGAATCTAAACACATGCTTGATCGCGCTGTCAAAACTTGTCGGATCTTTGACACTGCATTTTAAGCATGCCTGTCGCAACTGCGCCTCTTATTCTTAATGTAGGCGTGCTTTGACTTTGTTCTTATTTTTATAGAATACAACTGTTAGTCAAGAATATATCAAATCGATGTTTATCGGTTGATGTTTTCGCTAAGCAGCCGCCATTTGAATGCCTACCGGGGAAAAGACGATGTTTTGTTGATATGCGAATGGTGCATTGTGGGATCGTTTACCATATAAGGATGTAACGAAGATTACCGAATGTTGCATTGTGGGATATTTCGCCTTGCCGAATGTTGCATTGTGGGATATTTAAGCCTTACAAGGATGTTTTCGCATTGCAGAATACCTATCGCTGGGAAAGTAGAGATATCCTCACGTGGAATATCTATTTTTAGAATGTTTTTGACCAGCAACATGGCGGACACGATGAGCTTTCTAGCGATGTATAACATGAATGGGTTCGTCCCTGCAGGGAGGGCGTTGTTAGGGGTGAAAGTTCGGCGTTTTCAGGGTTTGATTTCACACATTTTTAACTATTATCACCTATACGATTATGTTTGTAGGGGTTTATAGCAATTAAAAAGACTCTTTATCGAAATCAACGTGTTGTATCGTGAAGTACATGTGTTAATTATACGAAAATAATCAAAATCTCGATTTTGATGTATTGAAGCAAAAATGTCAATTTAAGGTGCCGTGTCTGGCCTTAACCAGGGATATGCATAAAGTGTCAATGGAAGTAACAAAATTTAATAGTGGGTCCATGGGGACGCAAATACTTTCTGTAAAATTATCAGTTTGCTACTAGCTTGGTTGTGGTATCATATGCAATTTAATCACTGTTACAATGTGATGACCTAATAATATCTAAGTGTCTGAGACCCTAGTTTGTAGTCCCAGGGACCCTCGAATACAGGTCTTGAGATCAATCCCTGGTTACCATCAACATTTGCAGCATAATGGGTCAGGTTCAGTTAATTTGATGCCAACGAACCCTACTGGTGTGGTTTGATGCTCAAAAAATCAGTTACTCCAATATCTGGACAAACTTAAAATACAGGCAGCCATCATATGACTCGAATGTTGCTGTGTACAGGGCTACACAACAAAAGATACTTAGTCCATTACAAGAAATTATACCACCATGCAGTGATCACTAATCTGTATTTCCATCTTGTGTGCATTTCAGAGTAGTCCACCTCCTACTGGTGGTGACATTGCTGCCCAGTTTGCTGCCCAAGTGGCTGCTACATTACGTTCAGGCCACCCTCCCTCCAGCCACACACCACAAGGCCAGGACATGACGGCCAGTAGTCCCCCACTCTCAGATCAGCAAAGCTACTCCCAATCACCAGAACTTGCACAGCCAGACTTCAATCAAGACGTACAAGAAACTAGACCCCAACAAAATGAGCAAGCTGTTGAAGACATGTCATCAAATGCTCAAATTGAGAGCGGTGTTGGTGAACCCCCACAACAGGTGCCTGTTCATGAACCTAGCGTGAAAGAGGCAACACCGCCTCCAGAAACCAGCGAAACGGAAGTGATCGGATCCAGTGTTGACTATGCCCCAGAGCCTAGTCAGGTCGTGGACCAGAGCAGTCCGGTTGATGCTGATTCATTCACAGAACCCTTTCGTGTTGATGTGGAGAACATTACGCCATTTGTGCCAGCTGCTTCACAAGCACCTGTGCAAGCACCAACACCAGTGGCTCCAGTACAAGCACCAACGCCAGTGGCTCCAGTACAAGCACCAACGCCAGCGACTCCAGTACAAGCACCTGTTCCGGAACCAGTTCAGGTAGCTGCAGTACAAGCACCAGTTCAGGTGGCTGTGGTGCAAGAACCAGCTCAAGTGGCACCCCCAGTGGTGACTCCGCCTGTTACGGTGACTCCGCCTGTTACGGAAGCCCAAGTTACACAACCAGAGGTTGTCGAGAAGGCAGCCCCACCACCCCCTGCCTCAGCTCCAGCTCCGGCTCCAGCTCCGGCCCAAGCTCCAGCCCCGACTCAAGCTCCAGCCCCGGCTCAAGCTCCAGCCCCTACCCCGGCCCCTATCCCGGCTCCTACCCCTACCCCTACCCCTACCCCTGCCCCTACCCCTACCCCTACCCCTGCTGTTGTTTCCGTGGCAGACATGGCTAAGGAACAGACTCCACCACCTGCAGCCACTGAGTCAAAAGAGGTTGTGCTTGATAATGGTAAGTGGATTCTATTTTTCTATTATTATGAAATACTGTTCAACATTTTGGCGGTGAAAAAACAAACATGGTCAGACAGTGTTTGAATGCGACTAATGCCTGGCCAGTTTACCTGCCTACAGTGTCTGGGTTCTTGTGACGTCTTGGTCAGTTTTCTGGCCTATGATTTTGAATGGGTTAATGGTTCTGCTTGAAAATCATGTTTGTTCTCTCTTTACACATATTTGGCCATTGCATCATTAATAAGCTGCATATGCCATAAAGGAACTTGGCATGGTATTTTGGAGACTACCCCCATTTCTCCATCTTTTACAAAGGGGTTCTACCACATTTATCGTTTGTCAAACAGGTAACAATTATGCTGCATACTGTCATTCCTGTGAAAGTAAATTTCTATCCATGCAATGGAGTTGCCATGTGGTTCGTAACTTCATTCTCTGGCCTTGTGGCATGCAGTGTTTTATTTTTTGGTCATATCATCAGAGCAAACAAAAATGTCAATCGCGTGACCAAGCCCCATCGTTTTAAGTCAATGTTGGATACATGTCATTGTTGGTTTGGCCTGTTGCACTTACAGTTTAGGAGAAGGAAGAATATATATATTCTAAAGAAGCTACACCAGTGACTTCGTTCAATCTTTGGCCAATGTTCACAACTAGATTAAACTGACCGAATTACATCCATATTTTTGCAATGAAATATACTGTTGACATGCAAAACACATATTAAAACGTTGCACATTTCTACAATCGATAAGATAACACAAGTGATAGGATTCTTTCCAATGTACAGTAATTCATATGTTTATTTCAAAACAAACACACATACACAAATGCACAAATGATCTCCTACATAACCAATACGTATACTATACGTACACATATTCAACATTTTGAAGAAAACATCTATTGAGATGACCCTTCCCCTGAGCGTGTGCTCAGGTGTCAATTTCACCTGTCGATACCGTGCATGCTGATGACGTAACAAAGGCAGTTAATGTTTGTATCAAATAACGTCCACTACCCGTTATTTTTCTAAGTTTTTGGTATTTTCATCAGTAAAAACACATTTTAGGGCATGTCTCAAAATTTATTCCCTCAGTCTTCATTAGGTAGATGTTTCTTAAAGTGATATTTGTTATTTAAGTAACTGTAATACCTCTGAATTTTAAATATAAGTCAAAAAGCATTTTTCTAGCATTTCCGACAGTACTTTAGTTGTTAACCTGGGTGCTGTTGTACAAAGTGATTTAAGCCCTAAGGTGACCGTAACATCCATACCATAACATAGACTTAAGGTAGTCTTAGCGCTAAGGTTGTTTTGTAAAACAGCACTCTGGTCTGGTCTGTATTTTACAAGGCTGAACTCGGTTGAACTGCTGTGAAAAAGGGTATTTTAATACTATAGACTCGATATGTGTGCTTAATACATTGGGCTGATACCAATAGTTGTAATGCTATGATTTCTTTGCGATTAGGACCCTTGAATTCAGTATGTCTTCCAGTACTAGTGTTGAAATTCATAGCTTCATAATAAGAAACTACTAATCATATGAAGCACCCTGAAAATATATTTTTAAGTCATTATATACATGGAAAAGATTATTCAGCATTAGTTGCCTGAACCACTTGCACATCTTGAATGCTAGCATGTAGGGAACTGAGTGGAGTTGTCCTTTAACCAGGTTCCACACTGATAATTTCAACTTTACATATAACTACATTATTCACAAAGAGATTATGACTAAATTTCATGAAGACCACTTTAGCTACTGCATACTAGTGTTGGGAATTGGTTGAAATCTCACAATTGATGATTGGTTCAATACCATCGTCCAATCATCGAAAAAAATTGGTTAGCGTTATTTTTTAGATTTTCCTATTCAGCTTGTAGTTGCAAATAAGTATAAAGAAAAAAACATTTGGTTCTCTGTTGTTGTTTTTTGTTTTATTTAGAAACTGCACAAATTACATTTGCAAATTTCACATCCAGTTCCATTGTAACATAAACTTCCCAGATTCTTCAAGAAATATTCAGTCATGACTTTTCAGAAAGTGAAGTGAGTTTTCTAAGAATTATTCACGGACAACGTCCTAAATATGTTCCATCATCAAGTATTTCAAACTCTATTACAGTGGTTCCAAAATCGTTTGTGTTCGATCGTGAGAACATGTGATCGATTGCTTGGTCGGTTGGCCACTGCGACCAATCTTCGATTATTTCAATTAATCGGAACACCACTACTGCATACTTGACATAGAAAGACTTAAGTGTTACTATTTCCTCAGTAGTTGCTCATTACTTTCTGCTATTTCAAAGTCTTTTATCCTACCTCATGTGAGAATGTCCTTTTCTGATTGGTTCACGTGACTTTGGACCCATGAAGGTCCGGGTTAGAATGAATCTTCAGTAACCCTTGCTTGTCTTAAGAGGCGACTAACGGGATCGGGTGGTCAGACCCGCTGGCTTGGTTGACACATGTCATCGGTTCCCAATTGCGCAGATCGATGCTCATACTGTTGATCACTGGATTGTCTGATCCAGACTCCATTATTTACAGACCGCCTAAGTGAGGTATAAATCTTTGCGAGGGAGAATAAATCATTTCTACCCTGCCCCATGAAAAAGCATGCATCCACAGCAGTCAGTGAACCAGTGGTTCGGATTGACTATTCAGTGCCATGCTAAATAAAGTATATGATTGAATTTCAGGTTGTTTTAATGTCATATTTAAGCATTTGGTAAGATAAATTTGTTGTAGCATTATGATTCGGGGTATACAGGGTTTTATGTGTCCTTCGTTATCCTCCAGCTCCGTTGATGAAACCTAACACGTGACCCATAAATCCCTGTACACCCTCATCACAATGCTTCAACTAATATTGTACCTCTAACATAACTTACAATGATATGTCCATCCTTTGAAACTGCTTCTGCTCCTTTATATTAAGAGCATTTGACAAATTTATTTTAAACAATTCATAAAAGCATCCATCAGTTTTTTATTTGTTCAGCATTAAATGCCACACCCAGCAGTATTCTAGCTGTAAGGTGTGGTCTGCTCAATTGTGTCTAATTGACATATTGGGGTTTTTTTTAAAAACTGTTTTATTAATGCATCAGTTTTAAGTGCTTCATCTTGATAAATATTTTTCGATGAGTATCTAGACCTGTTCAGAAGCCAGTATGAAGCCCCACATCTACTTAAAAATCACAAACTGATAAAATAAATTTCTCAGTTAATGTGATATCTCATAATTTATTCAATAGTTTTGTAAAAGGAACCTGTAATTGACTTAAAATGTTTAGTTTTAAGTTGCTGCATTGGATGCAGTCTGAAATACTAGGGAGGATACCTGTGAATTTAAGAAAATATATACCTACAAAAACAAAAAAGGCCAAAATTGCCTTCTGAATCTATCTTCCTTGATTTATTACCGGAAGAACATCAAGAAATACCTTGGGGGCACAGAAATCATCTTCCTTGCTGTAGTCAGGCTCTCATTGTTGTGGCAATTGGATGTCAACCCATTAGAGATTATCACAAGTGTCCTTAAATGGTTATCTACTAAATCTGCCTCCAGGATGTTGGCAGTTGATTTGCTGAGTATGTTACCTTGTCCGGAGAATAAAGTTACAAAATCAAAATGGTTATGGTGTTTTTATTGTACAGATGCCTATAAATACATTACACGTCATTGTACATTTAACACACTTGTAAAAGGTGAAAAGTAGCAGAATTCATAGTTCAATGTTCAGTCTTGCTTGTTTAATCTGATATTTCATCAAACTCTTGCTGAATGTACACTTATCTACTCAAATATTCACGGAGGTGAGTTATAAAGAAAGCAACTTATAATCATTTAGGCCACATGAATTTGAAATACTCTCTGAACAATGAATAAACAAAACAACCCTGTTCAAAGACTGTTCATTCAAAATTCCTTAAAAGGTGTGAAATTGTTAACACCAATTAAGATGAATTATAACTGAATTCCTTTCTGTAACTTTTTATGTAACTAAGACTACAGTTCATTCTGCCTCTATATCAAATCGTTGAAACCCCTTGAAATACAAAGTTGGAGTGGTATTTAGATTGATTGGAACAAGAGGATGTAAATTCAGTTATCAGTAAACCTTTGTTCTGTTCATGTGATTATCTGAGCAAAAGGTCCAGAACAGCTTGGTAAAATTTTGAGATTTTAATCGTGTATTATTTTTGCAAATTGTATCCTGAACCACATATCCTGGTAAGAGACAGTTGCATTCATGTCAATATCAGTTATATCATGCCAGGCAATACAGGATATCATCCAGACCTATGATATTTCCTGAATATTCAGTATGTAATAAGTCCCCCCACAGGATATGCTGCTTTAATTGCCCTGTAGGTCTGTCCAGCTGATTAGTGCTGTAACAAGGCATAACATTGACCCTGGCACAATTGAATGAGATGCTCCTTTGCTGCATCCATCATGTGGGAAAGATAATTGAAGAACTTGTCCCAATTTATCTTAATTCATTGTTTTCCAATTTCCCTGGTAATGAGACCCAAAAGCAGGAAGCATGATGTTCATATCCAGTTTAAATTGTTTTGTTCTGTCGACCACAATCAAGGAAATAAGAGCAAAAAATATCCATGACAGACAATTTTCTGGTAAATTTTTATAGTTCTATAAAGTCAAGTCACCTTAATCAAATATGACATTACAATATACAATTTAGATGAGTTTCTGGGGACCAGTGTTTGCCCTTAACCTTGAAAAGCTGCAGGCACTAAGGACCCAAATCCATAAAAAGTTATGGTTCCTGATCAGAATGTGTAGGCCCTATATTTTGACATGGAAATAATACTCTTAGTTATTGGGTGTGAAAAAGCTGTCGGCCATAATGACCTGCAGAAAACAAAAGCTGTCAGGCCATAATGACCTGCAGAAAACAAAAGCTGTGGATCAGTGGTTTTCAGTTGGCTTTGGACTTAAGGGCCGACGTTAATTTGG